CTTTTTTTTTGATTAGTTATCATTCCCGTTCAACTGTTATCAGTTACTCAGTAAGTTCACACTCCTCCTCATATTTTGTCACTGTGCCATCTGTTAATCCACCCAACTTGTTATCATTAACTCTGTCTTTTTTTTCAGTCGTCTCTTTCCGTGATCAGCTATTGTGTCGGTCATCAATAAATTACTCCACTCTATCAATCCAATTTATCCGTAATCATTTTCTCTCTTCGTCAGTTCTTCATCCAGTTATGTCAATACCCTCTTAATATGGAAAAGGTACATGGTCGTTTGATGTTAGAACCAACACTTTTTACGCGACACATTACGTATACTGCCGCCTCTGCTGCTACTTCCGCGGTGCTGCTGGCATTGTACATAGAGCCTCGCCGGTCATTATGGTTCAAAATAATTAAATTCGAAGAAGGTGAGGATAGCTACAGTTCCTGATCATTTCCTGGAAGTGAACATGCAAGCAGCAGGCGAGTCCTTTTCATTTCAGCTTCTAAAATGTTTTCGGGTGTTTAAATTTTGAAGAAAAGTTTCTGTGATGAGTCATATGAGACTCGCACGGCGGTAACACTTTGCTAATAAATAATTTACGCTTTACAACAGGAATTTGCTTGCTGGCTGAGAGATATTGGCTGTATTGCCTTGGGTCAAAGAATTCGCTCGGCTGGGAAGACAGAATATCAGGAACTGGCTTAATTTGCCACTTGAAAGGAATCAGCTTAAATTGCCACTTGACAGAAATCAGCTTAATTTGCCACTTGAAAGGAATCAGCTTAAATTGCCACTTGATAGAAATCAGCTTAATTTGCCACTTGAAAGGAATCAGCTTAAATTGCCACTTGACAGAAATCAGCTTAATTTGCCACTTGAAAGGAATCAGCTTAATTTGCCACTTGAAAGGAATCAGCTTAATTTGCCACTTGACAGGAATCAGCTTTATTGACCACTTGACAGGAATCAGCTCAATTTGCCACTTGACAGGAATCGGCTTAATTTGCCACTTGACAGAAATCAGCTTTATTGACCACTTGACAGGAATCAGCTTTATTGACCACTTGACAGGAATCAGCTTTATTGACCACTTGACATGAATCAGCTTTATTGACCACTTGACAGGAATCAGCTTTATTGACCACTTGACAGGAATCAGCTTTATTGACCACTTGACAGGAATCAGCTTTATTGACCACTTGACATGAATCAGCTTTATTGACCACTTGTCAGGAATCAGCTCAATTAGCCGCTTGACAGGAGAGAGCTGAATCGGCCAGTTAACATGGATTTACTGACCTTGCCAGTTACCATCAAAAGTTGAAACTGAACTGATCGAAGCACAGATGAAAGACTTTGCCTGAGTTTCTGCAATATTTTAGTGTGGAGGTCATGTCGGCAAGGCTATTTGATTCGCAAATCACAAACTCTCATTTTGCTATCTTGAGGTCAAGCTTGCAGTAAATATTTCCGGAGTTAGTTAGTACAAAATATGCGCAATTAGAAGGGATTGTGCTTTAAGACATGGATGTCTAGTCCCAAAAATTAGACATAAAACTTTTAAGTTTGCTCAATGGTGAATTAACCTTGCGAATCGTCATAACGTGCATTATGCGACCGTCTATTATTTTCATTGTTTTCTTTATTCTTCATTGTTTTGAACTGATGAAGGAGCTGGACTCCGAAACGCTTTATTTAAAATGATACGTTGAATTTGTATGCGTTCTTCTTCTCTCCTTAATTCCTAAATTTGCTAACCAATCAAGTGTTCTTTATCTTCATAAAGTTTATTGGGAATAATCCAACTTATTCCTAGGTTATGAAAGTCGTTTTTATATTAAAACTTCAGCCCATTTCAAATTTTAATAACTAAAAGGACAATTTTGCATCGCCTAAAATTAAATGAATGTGAATGTAAAGTTTATATTGCCATTTACTTCCCTGCGCCTTATCACGTACAACAAAATGAATGCGCAAATAACAGTATATTCGCTACTGTCGTGCTTGCTCCTCGTCGCCGAAAGTTGAATGAATGTGAATGTAAAATCATTTTCGTCATTGGCGTGCTTGTGCAGTTTACAATCTGCATGCAAACATTTATACTCTTCGGTGGAACTCACCAACACGCGGAAGCGTGGTGGCCGACAGTCGACTCACCCACGGCCTCCTATAATTCGGCCATGAGTTTAATTGTGTTGTAGCGAGGCCGTACAGCTGGAGTTTGAATGACTCATACAGTGGCTAATGGTGATTTGACATCTGGACTGAGACGATTGAACGCTACTGTGAAATTTTAAATCAATCGACAAAGTTCTTCAGGTTTGAAGGGAAACCTACTTACGGGAAACTTAAATCACGTCTATTGCAAAGCTTAACATATCGATTTGCTTCCCTCCTTCCGCAGTATCAGTATATATATATGAAAGGAAAAGGTGGTCGATCAATTGTGTGTTTGCCGTCATTACGGGAGCTGGATTCTGATGAACTTCCTTATTTATTGCAGAAGCAAAGATGATTATAAATTGTGTCAAATTATGGGATTGGCTGGATTGACCTACGGTATGAGCTGCGATCATCTTATATTCTTCCGCAGTAGGCACAACTGCCATGTGTTTTGGAAGGACCTCTTCGACTAAAATACTTATATCTGAACGCATAAATTGTTTGTGTAATGCAATTTACATCTGGAGAACGATTTTTCAATACTTATTGGAAGATTGGGTTAAGTAGGATATGGTGAAGGACTTGCTTATTGTATCTCAAGTTGAAATCGCATACCTGTAGTTACTCCTGCTTCTAGTCTGGGAAAGGATATTGCACTTGCAGACTTTATTCCATACTTTTACATCGGTCAGCCACACAGCTCGTCATAGATTTAGAATATACAGTTATTACACCTCTCAGAAGGATAATGTATTTCCAATCTGAAAAGCCCTTCAAGAAACTTAAAAATATAATTAATTAATTTAATAATTAATTAATTTAATAATATAATAATTAATTTATTAATAAAAAATAAATAAATAAAAATTAATTTATTAATAAAAAATTAATTTATTTATTTATTTATTTATTTTCATTTGCCATCCATTGAGACTAAATCCACGCCATGTATCCCCCGCCCTCAGCCTCCACAGTCCGCATACTCGCCGAATATTTTTCTGCTCTCTCAACCGCAGCCAAAGTTGTTCTCTCCTTCAAGTCCCCAACAGAATGCTGTTTAATATCACTCCATTTTAATTATCCTCATTATATAATTCAGCATATACTAATGTAACGATGTGTGTTTATTCACAAATCAATAAGTATTTCACTAGTAAGTTATGCAAACAAGGTCAACCATAAGCATATAAATTAAAAAAAACGCGTTTTCTCTAAAAAGAAACGAGATTTAAAGAAGAACCCGTTTTCGTGCATCAGTAGTTGCCCCCTGCCCTCTAACTGAGTTACGTGCTCATGGACACGTGCCAGTAATTTACTATGAAATAAATAGTGCATTGCACTAGCTTTCATTTGATTATTTATCGCTAAAATTATATGTAGGGCACAGCGTCCCGTTCATTTGCAACCGCGTCATTTGTGGTTTTTGGAACGATTTAAAAAGTATAGCGCTAACATTTACGATTTAGTTATACTCATATATTTGATCTTGCCATTTGTTTTTTGGACTGTTGTTTTCACCTTTACATTTTTGTGCTAAACCATTACCTGCAGCTGTTTATGCTACTGTTATACAGGTATAAACTGCTGCTGCTGCTGCGTTTGCTGCTGCTGGTGTTGGCTGCTGTTGCTTTCGCTGCTGTTGGTGTTGGCTGCTGTTGCTTTTGCTGCTGCTGGTGTTGGCTACTGTTGCTTTTGCTGCTGCTGGTGTTGGCTTTTGCTGCTGCTGGCGTTGGCTACTGTTGCTTTTGCTGCTGCTGGTGTTGGCTGCTGTTGCTTTTGCTGCTGCTGGCGTTGGCTGCTGTTGTATTTGCTGCTGCTGGCGTTGGCTGCGGCTGAACTATGTGTGCTACAAGCGTTGACAGTTTCCTTCGATGCTGCCGTCGCAACTGAGTTGACAGTATTGAAAATAAAACGATAGTTGATGTCCTATCTAATTTTTGCTATTCTCCTTGAAACTACTGCTTTTCATGCATTACTTTTCATAAACGATGCATCTAATACCTACAGTACACAAAACAGCTAGACAAAAAGTATGTAATCTGGCAAAGAATTACGAAATCGGTGTGAACATGAACATTAATACTAGCAAGATTTATACTGAATTGACAACAGTAAAATCACTATCTTTTGATAATCCTTATATGAAACACAAAACACTCTCACCGCAGCCACCAGAAGTCAATGTCGACATAAAGGGTTGAGGATAATTAATGGTAACGGCGACCCTCACATAAGTGGCGCAGGCCTCTCTAGGACAGGCAATATACTGCGTGGTAGCCAATTTTACAGAAGCGGACATCGCAAACACAAATGTTGCCATCAAGATGCGCTCTCGAACGCAAAGCCTTTTACCAAACACACGACAGCTACACTGAGACTATGCAAGAGTTAGTTGTCATCGTCTTCTATAGGTGGCGTTGCACGGTAACTGAAAATGGACGAAAAAGATATGAATTATAAAATGCAACTCTTAGTGCGCGTTTATTCGTTCTAGTCAAGAAAAATAAGTACAAGAATCGGCGACAGGCCTATCCAGGCCTGTTCTTCAGTGCCGAAGATACTATACTACACTATACTATACTTTACTATACTGGACTTACATGCTAACCATTTTGTGAATTTAGTATTTGTAGTTTCTCGTATGAAGAATAATCGGGTTTGTAAATAGCATTCATGTTGTACAAAACTCTTTCAAGTTTTTGGTCTTTTTACACCTTTAATCTTCCTAACTTTATATATAATTTCGTACATGTAAAATAGAAACTGTGAAAAAACGCATTTTGCAGACTGATAATTTTAATTGCATGAATTGACAATAATTTTATATTTTCTTACAGACGAAATTGAGTGTTCATAGTATAGCATATTTCCGCCACTAACCCTGCCAGATTTTGCTTCTATTTTACCCTCTTCAATGAGTCAGCTGTACGATGAACCTGGTACCGTAGACGCTCTTCTGCCGGCCAAGAACATAACAGGTAACAAAAAAAAAGTTAATTTTCCAATTATACTTTTCTTTAGCATAATTAAAAATCTGACAAGTAATGAATTCAGGTTAATATTCTTAGAAGAGACATTTGTTTTTTAGTGGGGTCTAGAACATTCAAGGTAATAATTGTAAGTTTCTAAGTCTAACGGAAAGATTTTTTCCAATCTGTGCTAAATATCAGTTGATTAGGTGCCGATATAATAATACTTTTATGGGAATAAAGTAAAGTCCCACAGCTCTTTTGAATAAATCTTCTCCCACAGGGCGGATTAATGAAATCTGCAATGCAATCCAGTAATGCGATAATAATATTGAGGGATATTCGTTGCATGGAGGTTGTATACGCTAGTGTGTTATACACCAGCTGTATAGGTTGCATTGTTCTAGCTGTATTCCGTATTTCTTATTTACGTTGTAAATTTCATGCTTGTTCTAGTAATTTTCCATGCCTAATATAATAAGATTAATCCGCGAATTAGACTAATTATTGAATTTGCGCTAATAATTATAACTGTAGCTTAACGATTACTCCTTACATGTCTAAAGTCTTCAGAACAAAAATTTGTGTCAAAATCCTGCATTACACGTGAATTTTTTGTCTTGTTTGGAAGAATATCCATTATTGTTCACGTTTTATTTTATAAGGCAGCTTGTATTCAAATATAATTACTCATTTGATTACGTCAATTTTAGTACGTTGAAGCGAAATAATTTATTCACGAAGTTTGAAGTTTGATAGAGAAATTTATTTGAGGTATCAGATTGCTTATCAGTTTTGGTGGGTGGGATTTAGATGCTACCAGTGTAGTTAAATGTGATAAATGTCTGGAGAAATTTCTTAAGAAAAAATCATTCGATAATATTTTGATTTTTTTTGTAAAAACTTCAATGATTGAATGAGTGGACGGAAAAAATTTATTTTGATTGATTGAAGGTCTACAATGGGCACAGATGAGTAGGAGTTTTATTTTATATATTTAGGATCAAAAAGTCCTAAAATTAATAACTTTCATTATCTGTTAATGGGAATGTCTCATGGTCTGCTTCCTCTGAAAGCGATGACATGAATCGCTGAAAGCTTTCTTATTAATAAAACCGTTATTAGTGAAATTATTACAAAAAAGCGTTATTATTACTGAAATTATTACTTAAAGCGTTATTATTACTGATATTATCACTGAAAGCGTTATTGAGGTGAGGCAATTGTGTATAACTTTGTAATGTTTGTGTTCCCGCTGCGTTGGAAATCCACCACAATCAGTGAGTGGAAATCCACCAAAATCGAAGGTGGAGCCGCTGAAATTTCCCTCCTACGCAACAGGCGGTGAAAACTACCGACGGAAAAGGTGAGTGGCAGGCGTCTTGTTTGCTGCTTCTCTCCGTTTTTTGTTGTTGATTTTTCCAGTTATTGTTCCGTCAATTCTTATGTTGATTCTGTATTTTTTCCGTATTTTCTTCCCGTTATTTTCCTGCTAATTTTTTTCCTAATTATTCCGTTATTTCTTTTGTTGATTTTTCAATATTTACGAAATTAATTTTAAATTACTGTGCACAGGTAAGTTCAAGATCTATTAATTATAGTCTTTGTATAAAAAGGCTTCACGTTTTTTAACATTAATTTTAAGGGCTTGGTAACCAGCTTGTTACTGGAATGTCTTGTGATGCTTTTTGCCTGCTTTGACTGCCTGCCTGCGATATTCTTCAGGCCTTCTTTAAATTGTATTTAAAATAATAACGAAGATTTTATTATTTCCGACACCAATCGAAGTTTAGAATGGACCTACAGGGAGTCAGTTACCAACAATATAATTGAAAATAATAATTCCACTGTTAAAATTTGTATTCAAATAGACCATTGAATATAAGCGTTGGTTTTTCAATTAAGTTTTCCTTGAGATTGCAGTGAAGAGGATTGTGAGGATTTTTGAGGATGAATCTCCTGGAGCGCTTATGAGGGTAGTCGGACGCTCTTGGAGATCAGCCTTACGATGAGTTTGATTGGAAAATTCAAGTTTCCCACTTATTTTCCCAAACCTACTTCGATAATTCTTATTTTCTTAGTCTATGTGCTTGAATTAAGTTGAAAAATCTTTCTAGATCGCAAGAAGTGGCTAAAATTGAAGAATTCAACCTTACTCAATAGAGCAAAAACATTTTAAATACTTTCTAAGAATTAAGTTAAATTTTCAATCGAGATAAGGCAAATAATTTTTCTGTAATTAAGATTCAATAATATTCCATGAAGAATTGGGAAAAATTTACTTATGTTTCGTACTGAAAAACTCGCGTATGCCACGTGCGATCGACCGTGAAATGCTCCGCATTCGAATGAAACAGTGAGGGAGAGGGTAGCTTGGTAGCCCTTGTTTCTCGTTTGAGCTTGGATGACATTACGAAGGGTGAACTGATGTACAACCACTGACGATAACAGAACTGAGCATAAAACCGCTATCTCGCGATCAATGGTGCTTGAAAAAAGAGTGTTACCAGCACAGAAATCCGGTTAACAACGATGAAGACAGCGAGGGTTAAGTTCATGTTAGCCATACGATTTCATCAGTCGCCGCTACAAGCGTGCCAATATTTAACGAACAGACTGCACAGCCATGTATTTAGTTAGAGCAAACTTCTGTCAGACTTGAACAGACTTCTCAGTGTCAGTGGCTATCAACTTTCCTGATTCAGCACACACTATCTCATCCTCCTCGGCCGGGGACAGCTCCCCTCTGTTGGCCGTAACCTCACCCTTGACAGCTCTATGCGTTGCCTGTCAATTAATTTGATTCATTACCCTTTTCGTGAATTTATGTGATCCATGGTCCTTTTAATGTGATCCTTTACCGCCTTATTTTATCGCGTAGGAGCGGTATGCTCAAACTGTATTACTTAGATCGTAAATCATGCGGTGGCCGTGAATTCTACGTCATCGTACGCAGCAAGATCTGTTTAGACTCTGGTTCATGAGTTCAAATGAGCTTATGATACCGTGAATATTTTTTGAGGATTAAAGCATAAATATTCTGACTTTTCATGATTGCTACCTGACTTGTAAGTTCAACAGGCGCCATACAATCAATAGGAATGAAGTGCGCAGCTGCAGCTGATGTGAATGCTGTAGTGAAGTGAATGGGAACTTATGGTGAGTGTGGTATTCATTGTCATAAATGATTGTCAAATGCAGAGTGTGGTATTGATTGTCATGTGCTGAGTGTTGTATTGATTGTCGGAACGAGGTTCGGTGATGGGGTTTCCCTGGTGTCCAAACCTGGTTTCTGTATTTCACAATTCTTTTGACTTCTTGTCTACAGGGAGTGGTATCTAATAATTCACCTAAATAGTTTAAGGAATAGAGGTTCTCTGTGGTTTCTTTTATCTATCATTTAGCTTTGTTTTTTTCTATCGATATTTTGTTTGGGTATTTTTCGACCATTGAATAGCACGAATTTCCCAGAGCCCTCTCCTCCAATGCAGCCAGTGTGAGTATATGAAACATTTACGTTAAAATTACTTTTTCACACATGAAATATTTCGGATTGTCAGTAAAAACGACTCCGTAGATCAATAACAAATTTTAATAGTAGTAGCATTTATTGAAAACTTAAAGCTATTTCGATAAAATTAACGCTATCAAAGATATCAATCATTGAATTACTGATATCTCTAAATAATTAATATTTTCAAATGATTGATATCTTAAAATGATTGACATCTTAAAATGAGTGATACCTTGAAATAATTGTTATCTTGAAATGATTGATATTTTTCAATGATTGTTACCCTGAAATGATTGACATCTTAAAATGAGTGATACCTTGAAATAATTGTTATCTTGAAATGATTGATATTTTAAACGATTGATATGTTTAATTAATCTATGATAATGATACAGGTTAGGGAAGTGGAGGCTGGTGCTGGCACAATGGCGTCTGCTGGTGGTGCTGCTGACGCCGCTGTTGCTGCTGCCGCTGCTCATCGTGGTCGGCACTCCAGTGCGTATATGTCCTCTGGCGTTGTCGGTAAAAAATATAATTTGGCTGATTTTTTCCTTTTGGTACACTAATTTAGTTGCAGTCAACTCTTCAACTGAACAGTGTATGTTTTTGCCACGAGGTGCTATAACTTTTCGTAATTTTGTCTGAATTTTCCATGAGCCGATTTTTGCCCATTTTCATCATCACTCCAACCATCTTGCCAGCGTCGATGCTCCAACTCTCGTGATACTCCATGCACCAAAACTCACATCCTTATTAATCTACTCCAGTGCAAAGCATGCCACGCATGTGAATCATTGACAAGATCTCCCCATGACCCACTACGCTACTACACCCGAAGTATTACACACACTGCTCCACCACGCCCCACGTGTTACATCCACTGCTCCACCACGCCCCACGTGTTACATCCACTGCTCCACCACGCCCCACGTGATCCACTCACTCTGATCCACCACGCCCCACGTTTTTTCCCTCACTCTGCCTAACTACGCCCCACACATTTACCCACTGCCCCACTACACCCCACGCATTTGACCCACTCACTCACCCCCAGGAGGCACGGGCGGGCTACGTCATGCTACTGACCAGCATTTACTGGATGACGGAGGCGCTGCCGCTGGCGGTGACAGCCCTCATCCCTGCAGGTCTCCTGCCCCTGATGAAGGTGTTGTCTAGCAAGGACGTGTGCATGGTCTACATGACACACTCCAACATGACGCTCTTCTGTGGCATCGTCATGGCGCTCGCCGTCGAGCATTGCCGAGCGCATGAGCGCATTGCGCTCTGCGTCATCCTTAAGATTGGTGCGTAATTTACGTATGACATTTAGGACAAGTATTGCACTAATTTACGTAGGACAGGTATTGCACTAATTCACGTAGGACAGGTATTGCACTAATTTACGTATGACAAGTATTGGACTTAAGTTTAGGAGTTAAATTGAAGGTAAAATTCAGAGTTAAAACTTGATCAACGTTTTACTTTAGCAGCATTCAGTTTTTTTATTTAAAGTTCCTGCTCTTTAAACATTGATTATCTCACAACAAGTTCATGTTCCAACTATTTAATGTAACTTCAAAGATTTTTACGAGGGTTTTAACTATGCGTTAGCTTACCTCAAAAGCATCAGCTTAACCATACATTAATTAGTTTTAACCATAAACCATCTTGTTGTAGCCTGCTACTATGCTGTTTCTCTACAACATTGAGTCGAATAATGTCACTGTTGTTGAGAGAATCATTGTAAATTTTGCAGGTCACAGCCCCAGACGCCTCATGGTCGGCTTCATAGCGACGACCATGTTGCTTTCCATGTGGATCTCCAACACAGCTGCTACGGCCCTCATGATCCCCATAGTGGACGCCATGATAATCGAACTTAAAGTAATTAGCTTTTGCGTATTTTGAACCAAATGCCATTTAGGATTAAAAGCAATATAAAATAATAATATTAAATAATAGAGCCATCGGGTAATCGGAGCAAATCCAAACCCTCTGAAACAAATATCTTCTCGCATTGTTCATTAGGTCTTGTTGGACGAAACTTATAGGGACCTGTCGCTTATAGTTACCAGTATCGGTGAGTTCCGATCAAGTGGTATCGACTGCATGTTGAGGCGGCACATCAGCCCTTACCTCGATCCATTTTCTTCCATATTACTCGTACATCTCGGATATCTTAATCACATGTCTCCTCTGTTATTATTATACTCTAAGTAGGTCTAACTTACCCGCTTATTATTTTTCGCCCACCCGTCACCTCTCGCTTCACTTGCAGAAGTCATCGACGCGTTTGTCCCGAAAGCCCGCCAGACCGAAGGTGGCCATGCCGGAGGTCGCAAGCACTGTGGAGCTACAAGATCATTTCCCAACCTCGCCCTCAGCAGACGACCTTCCCGAGATTTGCATGTAAATCCTCTAAATTTCGTATTTCTATGATTTTTAATTTCACAAAGCAGACAGATGTACAAAATAGGAAGGGCTAATAGTGCAAGGTTGTACAATGTACAAGGTTTGATACAAGTTTTACATTGTACATTAGTCCAAGGTTTTATATAGTTTTTACGTAAAGTTAGGATGGATTACGTACCGAAATTCACGTACAGTCATAAGTTATTAGTTCTCATTTAACTGATATTCAAATGAGGCCGTAAATTTGAGCCTACCGCAACCTAGCGTGTTACCCTGTGCAGCGACATGGAGAGGCGCCCGAGTTTCGTGGAGATCGAGACAATATCGCCGGAGTTCTCGCAGCTACGCAACACTTGCCTCATCGCCACGGCCGCCGCGGCCAACATCGGGGGCATCGGCACCCTTACTGGCACCGTGCCCAACATCGTGCTTGCGGGCTTCCTCAGCAAGTGGGTGTCTGGGTGATGTAGGTGCTGGGTGATGTAGGTGCTGGGTGATGTAGGTGCTGGGTGATGTAGGTGCTGGGTGATGTAGGTGCTGGGTGATGTAGGTGCTGGGTGAAGTAGGTTCTGGGTGATGTAGGTGCTGGGTAATGTAGGTGATGGGTGATGTAGGTGCTGGGTGATGTAGGTGCTGGGTGATGTAGGTGCTGGGTGATGTAGGTGCTGGGTGATGCAGGTGCTGGGTGTTTGGGTGATGGCTATTTTGTCTTTGTGCATCTTGCGTTTAATTAATTTATATATTAAACAAAGAATTGGGACATCGTTTCCGCTTCCCTCCTCTTTTTAAAGTGGTCACAGTATTTAAATATCTGAAAATAATTTTTAAATTACTGTCATCACTTATTATTATATGTTCGAGCAAGAACATCTGCCGCTACGCGGCCGCTGCCCGAAGTCACATATTGGCGCTTGATCTTGTGAAGTTTTCTTGTTTGTGAACGCGTGCGTATGGGCGGATGTGCAATAATAGCTTAATGTATGGCCCCGACGCTATTATCGCATAGGCAACGCGCCAAACATCGTCACGTACGTAGCGGGGATATACAAGAGGTTTGTGCGTAGTGAGCGAGAGTGAATTTTTAACTCGGGGAAAGGCGATAAGTCACGGCCCATCAAAGAGGCCTAGCTTGGCTGAAGACTCGGGCCTTCCTTCAAGCTGAGAATAGAACCAAACTGATAAATAATGGTTGACTCGAAGTGCACACAGAAATCATGAATGCGAATTTATTTTGTTAATTTGTGTAAAATTCTCCTGTTATTGTGTGACACATTTTTTCTAAGCGAAGCAAATTTTATGGAAATGTAGATATAGTTTTTACATATAAAATATATATTTTCTACTATTATAAGTTACTGGTTAATAAATTTTTGATGTTATTTTACTGTTTTTGGCCGAGTTACAACTAATGTTAGATGTGGTATTGATGAAGTTATTTGCCGAGACCATTTGATGATTAAAGCATACTGTTTTTATTTTAATTTGATGACAACTGATCTTGTTCAAGCGATCGTGACGAGGAAGGTGGTTCAATTGGCGGTTACAAACTCTAATATGCTTTTGAACGTAGCAGTAAACTGCAAGTATCTTTGTTGAACGTTAGTGAATGCCTTGTAAGTCTTAATTAATGTTAATATAGACGGAATTAGATCACTAATGTTGAATTAAATCTTAGATTTTATCACTTAATAGTCATAAAGATGAATCGAGAATTGAGTATATATTTGTCACAATGTTGAATGTTGCATCGGCAGTTCGTACGGTCCTAAGACAGGCCTGAACTACGCAACGTGGATGCTCTTCTCCGTGCCAACGATGTTGCTGTGCACATTGCTCGTGGGCATCGCTATGGTCTTCAACACTCTCGACTTGAGGAAGACGGTTAACAGGTCAGTGCTGTGCTCGTGATTTAATTCGTACGCGAACTGAATAAGTTGATTTGGAGATAAAAATTGGGGTATAAGAGTTGTGTACAGTTTTTTGAGGTTCATGTTGCACAAATTGCACATTAATGTCGAATTACTCAACCAATTTTTCGATTTATTTCTTTATTTTCTATATAATTTGCAAACACAATGCAACTTGTCAAGGAAAATTTAGGTTACAGAAAATATTAAATTTCCAATCTAATTTGTTAGTAATTGTTAATGAAAAAAATTAACAATTCTCAATGAAAATTGCTAGCGAAATTCTCAGGTACAGAACATGTAAGATTTTCAATGAAACTTAGCAGACAAATTTTTCAATGACAAAGTATTCAAAATTCTCAATGAATCTTATCAACTAAATACTCGGTGCCAAAATGTAAAAATCGCGACTAAAACTAATCAGAAAATTTTAATCGACAAAAAAGTGTCTATTCTCAATGAAAACTATCCGCAAAATTCCAATACTCTCAATGAAAATTATCCGCGAAATTCCCCCAAAAAATTTAAATTAACACCGAAACTTATCTGCAAAATAAGCAAAAAAAAAACTCGTGGACAGATTCCGTGAGCGGCGGTGGGGTTCGCACCACACGTACAGCACGGGCGACGGCACGGTGACTACGAGCAGCACGAGTCGTGCTCGTAGCGCGGCCGTACGCGATATTCTCGTGCTACGATACAACGCCCTCGGCCGCGTCAGCTTCCATGAGAAGGCCGTCATCGCGGTGTTCGCGGCCCTCATCGTCATGTGGTTTATGCGCTCCCCTGAGTTCATCCCGGGATGGGGGCAGCTCTTCGATGTTGACGGAGTCCCGTGAGTAGATTTTTTTCAGTATTTGTTGTCAAAACGTTACTTCTTTTGTATAATTTATTGCGAAAATGGCCTTACGAAGGAACTTTCTATCGTTTTGGACTTGTTCATTTAATATTTTAAAGATATTTGTCTTATGTTTTGCACAAAATTATTTAAAGCTTCATTTCAAATATATTTTTTAACCATAGAAAATTAAATATTTGTACCTATTTCCATGCCTTGCCATGGCCGCGCAGGATGGTGAGTAGCGCCACTCCCGCGCTGGTGGCCGTCGTGCTGCTCTTCATCATCCCTGCTAAACCCTCGGCTCTGATGAGTGGCCAGCACGACCCTGATGGTGAGTGGCCAACACGACCCTGATGGTGAGTGGCCGAGGCAACCCTGATAGTGAGTGGCCATCACGACCCTGATGGTGAGTGGCCAACAAGACCCTGATGGTGAGTGGCAGGCACGACCCTGATGGTGAGTGGCAGGCACGACCCTGATGGTGAGTGGCCAACACGACCCTGATGGTGAGTGGCAGGCACGACCTTGATGGAGAGTGGCCAACACGACCCTGATGGTGTGTGGCCAACACGACCCTGATGGTGAGTGGCCAACACGACCCTGATGATGAGTGGCCAACACGACCCTGATGGTGAGTGGCCAACAAGACCCTGATGGTGAGTGGCAGGCACGACCCTGATGGTGAGTGGCAGGCACGACCCTGATGGTGAGTGGCCAACACGACCCTGATGGTGAGTGGCAGGCACGACCCTGATGGTGAGTGGCCATCACGACCCTGATGGTGAGTGGCCATCACGACCCTGATGGTGAGTGGCCGACACGACCCTGATGGTGAGTGCCATGATGGTTAGTGACCATAATGGAGGGACAGCAGGCTGAAGTGAGATCATTTAGCATTTAAAATTAAATTGTGAAAATGTTATTCAAAAATAAATATATTTTCATACAAAATTTCTGTTAAAAAAGTATTACAAAATCTTAATGATAACCTCTCACCGTATGCCGTCGCAGAGGCTCGCATTCGTAAGTGAAGAAACTGTATTTCATTACTCTGTCTACTACATTGTACTTCATCTCACGTACACTTACTTTACATCACCTCCTCGCACCATTTGTGCTCATCATTATCTCCTCACTACAGTGATAACATCATCACCTCCTCACTACAGTGATGATATCTCACCCTTATATCTCACCCTTATATCTCACCCTTATATCTCACCCTTATATCTCATCCTTATATCTCACCCTTATATCTCACCCTTATATCTCTCCCATATATCTCACCCTTATATCTCACCCTTATATCTCACCCTTATATCTCACCCTTATAAATCTCCATACGTTAGATCTATGGGCAGGCATTTACCCAGCACAAGGCCTGTAAAATGACTCTAAAGATGCACTTCATTTACAAAGACTTCTTTGATCAAGCATCAAATTGGACGTAAGCCAAACGTCGTCTCATTTCCGACCAAACTTTCAATGCGATGCAAGTCTACCAATGTGATGCAATTTTACCAATGTGATGCAATTCTACCAATGTGATGCAATTCCGTTTCAGGACAGAAAGAGACAGTTCTTTTGTTTATACAAGGAGCGGTTAATATTATTTATATTCTCATATAAATTCAACTATTCATGAATCACATACTCATAACTCGTTCAGGTTTAACAAATTCATCGAGATGTTGGTGGTTTGCACTTAGGCTGTCGACAGTCTAAGTAATTGCTCAATGTAAGAGCATATGCAAGTACGTGATACATATTAAACTCTAGATATGTATTGCACTCGATGAGGTCATCGTAGTAATTATGATCGAAATATACAGACGACCATAACAAAACGTACAATCTTTCTCTCATCGCCTAAAGAAATAGTACAAGTCTTGTTCGCTCGAATGTACTACGATCAACAGATCACCGATTAATTGCTATTTAATAAAAATTTTCACCTTCTGCAAGCCAACTTAGGAGTTTTAATTTACACAACCTCCGACTCAAGTTTCTGAAGCTCTTATACGTGAAGTTGCCCAATTAATTTATTTAAAATTTGGTTGATGAAAATAGTAGGAAGAAATTTAAAGAAGCGATGGAATAAGTATTGGGCTAACTGATGGCTAAAATTGCAAAATATTTGATAATTTCGTGACAGATTATTCTCTTATTTTAACCAAATTTTGATGACAGCGTTTTGCAGAAGAGCTGTTCAGTTTGTCAGCCGTCACTGCATTTTTTCGTATATCATCTTCCTCTGCTGTATGTCTTCATATTAACACTCGTGATCCATTCTGTAGTGCACATTTAGACGTGCGGAAAAAATGCTGCGTTTATACATTTAGTATACACTTTGTTCGTAATATTTCAACAAACTTAAATACTTTATAACATGATCATGATCTGAAATTTAATCTGTACATCTGAAATAGAACAAATTATTCTTGTGCGTCATTGGCCCTATGGCGCAATGGTAGCGCGTCTGACTCCAGATCAGAAGGTTGGGTGTTCGAGTCACTCTGGGGTCATGCTCGGTTTTATTGCCATCTAATCAGTGCGTAATTGATAACATCGGCATCTTGATTAGACATCATAATTAAGCAGGAAATACAGCAAGGTCTTAATCACCGTACGTTGTGCGCGTGACCCAGAATAAGAACCAAATAAATATTTTTAAATAAGAACGTAAGCTCTTCACTGCTTTTATAACAGCGGCAGCATCGATGTCAGCGAGCTAGACGCGCTTGAAGGGAACTTCAAAACATTACTATATTTATTAGAGCCACTTTTTAAGGGGGTATAGCTTTAGTAAAATAATTTTAGACTTGAGTTCTAAATTAGTCTGACAAACTCTCAAATAAATTATAGCACATAAAAATGATAGTTATTTGTTCTGATTGTAACGGCCAGCTCGCAATTAAATGAATTAAATAACATGGCCCTCTCATTTCATTTTACGAAAATAGAAAAAATTCAAAATTCAGTACCAATTTAACAAACATAAACTATTAACATTCATTCAAGAGAGTCAGGATTCCGTATTGTCTTGTGAATATAAAATGAAAGAAATTACATCAGAATAACGTTTGATTTGAATAAAGTAATCGATAACATCGATAAATGTGTGTGGCTATGAGGTCGTCGTTCTTTAGCACCCGTAACGCTGACGCCACGTGTCCCCGTGGACCTCATCACCGAACGCTCTTCATCACGACAGTTTGCCTCAACTTCCTGACGACATCGAATCTTCGTGCGCGTTGCTTTCACGGCGTAGCGCTGCATCTTGCGGCGTATCGTTACAATTGCTGCGTATCATAGAATTTACAGCGTATCGTTGAATTTGTGGTATATCGTAAAATTTTCGTCCCGTCGTTACATTTGCAGCACATATTGTTGTACCAGCGACTTATCATTTTGTTTGCTGCGCACCATTCAATTTGCGGCGTATCGTTACATATGCAGCGTATTTTTGTACCTGCTTCTTACCGTACGTTGTATTCGCTGCGTTTCATTCAGATTCCGGCGTTTCGTTGTATTTGCGGCGAGTCGGTGAATTGCCGGCGTAATTGTAATCGCGCCGATGAGCCGCGGCGCCGACGCGTAATGGCTGCGCCAAACACTGCTTGTGATTGCCGACTGTCTGTTTTTTTTCGTGGGTCTCTTGTGGTCTTGTTTGCCCTCCTCGCGGGGGCAGATTTGCCTGCTCTTGACATGTGTTTGTTCCGCAGTTTTAATGCCGACTTTAATTCTTTGACTCCAGCATTCGTCCGCCGTGTGAGTGGCTTTGTTCATTTCATTGACATGAAGCAGCACATTTTTGTAGTCACATGTTACATTATTAGATGTTAATTTTACATGCAACAACACATTTTCTTTATTTTATAATACAATATCAAATGATACAGTGACTGTCGACATCACATTTTCGCGTAACCATATGTCAAATTATCAGCCGTTATTTGACAAGCAACAACATTTGGCCTTAATAAGGATGTTTAATTGACATGCAGCATACATGTCATTCAAACATCCTGTTGCATGCATGTTCGCAATATACATCGACAGATGCCTAGCATTTGTTCATAATATAATAAACAAAATGACCGGCAGGCGGGTTGCTGACCTGGAAGGCGGTTCAGGAACGCATGCCGTGGCAGGTTCTGCTGATCATGGGGGGCGGTTTCGCCCTGGCGGCGGGGGCGAAGGAGTCAGGGCTGTCAGCGTGGATAGGCAACAGCCTCAAGGTTATCGCCAGCGTCCCCAGCGCGGTGAGGGTTGTTGTGACTCAATACAATGCTTGTGAAACTCATATCAATGATGATAAACTGCTTATGAGCGAATTAGTATTTAATTATTTATTAATAAGGATTGTTGGGCCGCCTTAAGGATTGTTGTGACTCAATACAATACATGTGAAATTTATATCAATGAAGGTAAACTGATGATGAGCGAATCAGTATTTAATTATTTACTAAGAAGGATTGTTGGACCGCCTTAAGGATTGCTGTGCCTCAATACAATCTATGTGAAATTTATTTCAACGAAGATAAATTGAAGACGAGCGAATTAGTATTTCATTATTTATCTAGAATATTATCTAGCTCACCGAAGTATTAAAAATTTATTGATAATATAATTATAACACAATAATGGAATTTGATCATCACCACGCACGTTATGAGTATTCACTAATGACGTGCTGAACTCGATTTAATGACGTGCTGAACTCTATTTAATGACGTGCTGAACTCTATTTAATGACGTGCTGAACTTTATTTAATGAATAATATAATAATGCTGAATGATAATATTAATATAATAATATTGACGTGCTGATCACTCATGACGTGTTGCTGACAGACGGCCGTGTTCCTCATGGCGCTCATGACGACCATCATGACGACGCTCATGTCCAACACCGCCGTCATCGCCATCCTCCTGCCCATCCTTAAGGAAGTGGTGAGCTGACGAGGACCTGAGGTCATGACGTGTCTGCCATGAAGTCATGACGTGCCTGCCATGAGGTGATGACGTGTCTGCCATGAGGTCATGACGTGGTGCCTGCCATGAGGTCATGACGTGGTGCCTGCCATGAGGTCATGACGTGCCTGCCATGAGGTCATGACGTGTCTGCCATGAGGTCATGACGTGGCTGCCATGAGGTCATGACGTGTCTGCCATGAGGTCATGACGTGGCTGCCATGAGGTCATGACGTGTCTGCCATGACATGTCTGCCATGACGTGTCTGTATATGACAAAACCAACACTCAGAACAACACTCGAGAACACTCTGTGAACTAAACACTGTCAAAGGAACACAGTTATGGAGAACACTCTTAAACTTGAACCCGAGTTCCCTGTGCAATAAATGAATAGAAGTCATGAATGTGTGATGCGCCACAAATAAATGGACCACCCACAAGGTCCATTCACAAGGTGTGACAAGTCATTGATTACAAATGTACGGAACTTAAGTTTTCTAATGTACGTATGTAAATGAATCCAGTCACGAATGGATGACGGGCTCCGAATGCATGGAAATGAACACGTCCCGAATGCATGACAGACCTCGAATGTATGGTAATTAATACGTAAAGAATGTATGACAAGCCGAGAATGTATGACAGGCCTCGAATGTATCGAATGTATGGAAATCCGAGAATATGTGGCAGGCCACGAATGTATGGCAATGAATACGTAAAGAATGTATAACAAGCCGAACTGTATGACAGGCCGTGATCCTGGAGGTGAACCCGCTGTACCTGATGATCCCTGCGACGCTGAGCGCGTCCTTCGCCTTCATGTTGCCCGTCGCCACGCCTCCTAACGCCCTCGTCTACGCCGCTGGATCCTTCAAGACCGCCGATATGGTCAGATCTTTTAACTAATCATGTGTCGTTTAAAGAAAAACCGGACTTATTATCTGCCTAAATATCTGGCTTTTATATGTAAAGGTAATTATAAATAAAAAAAATTATTAGCATAATGAAAATTTAAATCGGTATTCTATCCAAATTTTTTAAAGATCTAAATATATTTTTTTCTGATGGCCCAAGCTAAGGTAAAGAGGAAGTATTTATCTAGAATTATCAACAAAATAAATATTCACATAAGTTATTACAAAAAATATAGTAAAATTTTGTGAGCTTCAAGTCATTCATTAATGATAACTAAAGTTGAAGTTACGGTTTCGTATTAAAGAAACATTACCGTAAATGAAAAATTCAATACTACAAGTTATCAAAAATTTAGTTAGGCTTATTATGGGTATGGCAATTGATAATATAATAAAACTAAAATTAGTTTGAGGCCACTTTGCGTGTGCCATAGAGACCGACGACTTGGCCATATTATTATGATTTGGCCATTTTACGGCCAGATATGTCCGTAATGCATTATGGGCCGAATGTTCGTCCATGCTTCAGCTGGAGTTTGAACGAACTACAAACATATTCATCAAAATCAACTCAAATTTATGTACATTTATTGGAAGCTTTTCTCAAAAGAATTTTTCACGCTTAATTGCCTTAACTGCCTATTAATATTATAGATACCTAATTGTCGATGATATTTTAGTTCCTAATCATGCCGGTAAAAAAAATTTTCCTTCGAATCATCTTCAATGTTGATTCGTATCAATAGCATAATAGCATAATTACCTTTTTACTGTGCAGGCAAAGATCGGGTTCGTGCTGAACGTGCTGTGCATGCTGGTGCTGATGCTGGTCACCAACACGCTCGGTGACCTCATGTTCGACTTCTCGGTGGTGCCTTCTTGGGCGAACACAACGGCCGCGCCGTGACCGAATTCTTTGTAGTGTTCCTTTTATACATTATGTAAAATTGAATTTATCGTAAAATTTGTAATACAAAAATGTAATGAGCATAGCATGTGTACATGAGTACAGAGTATAGTGGTTCAGTGGATAGATACATTGAGGTAATGATAGAATTGTTCGATGGCTATGATACTGTGTTGCAATCACGTAATGTTTCATGGTATGGTGATACACTGTATTACGGTCTAATAATTCAATAAATCAGTGTTTCAATGGATGCAGTGCTGATATAGCGTAATATTTTGATGCCTCAGTGATACACTGTAATATGGTTCAATGATTCAATATATCACTGTAGCAGAGAAACTGTGTTTCATTGCTCGTGGCGACGCAGTGGTAAGGTTTTATCTATTCAGATAAAAAAAATTGTTTTATGTATTTTTCAGACATTTCCAGTCGTTAATGCTGGGCATAACAGTAGTCCTAGTAGAATAAATTTTACTGGTCTTATTACTTTGAATGTTCAGGATGTTGTACAAAGTCATGAGATTTGTAATGAAGTTCTAATTTTTTTTAATTCGTTCTTAATGTTATTATAACCTGATACCGTCATTACCTATATTTAGCTACTATAAAGTTGGCCGGGAAAATGCCAGTTATGTGAGCTACTTGCAGCCTACAATATTTTCATGTTCAACTTTGTTAGTTTAGATTTGGTAATTCGCGGACGGTCGTGGCATGACGGCCATTTTGAGATTTTATGCGCTACGTAAAATCATTCCAAGATTTTTTTTTCAATCCGGTCAAATTTACTTTTTGTATTCAATAGGAGTGAAAAGATGGCTTAACACTTCTAATTACTTGTTCCAAGATATTAAAAACGTTTTACTATTTATAATGACTGTTTTGTATACTCTGATGATGCTATATTGTATTAATATCGTTTTACCATCTGAGGATTTCTTCACCAGCGTTGATAGGGCGATGTAGTAGAGTTGTGAAATTTATAAAAAAATAATAAACGATTTTATAAACGAATATCGATCGAAAATTGTCTTGAACTTTTCAAGAAGGTTTCCACTATTATTGTAGCATTGCTGGTTCCGGGTGTCGTTAGGCGTAGATTTGGAAAGATTGCACCTGCAATTAGAGGGCAAAATTTTTTTGACTCATTTTTTTAATTAATTGCCGTGAAACTAATAAATTGTGACTAGAAAGAATATTGGAATCTCTGTGATTTACTTGAGCATGTTTTTTATACAATAGACCCAATACCCTTGAGGCGCAACACTAAATCTATAACGCGGATTAATTTAGGTTCTGTCTCAATATTGTTATACGCTGACTGTGTTGAATGGCCTACTACTTCTCTGTGTTGGGACAGCTTCTGGGCTGCCACATCATATTATACCAATTGTATAATTCTAGTACACATAATTGATTTTACTCGATTACTTTTTAAAACATTGCTGATATCCATAAATTGTTATCATTATGGCCTTCATCGTACCGTTGATGCCGTCTTCTGCAATCGCCGTCCAGCGTCTATTTAATATTTGGAAAAATGAGGAGTCAGGTGGAGTCTAAAATTTTCTGGAAGGAATAATATATAATATCAGAACTGTGATTAATAACATGTCATGTTATTCGAAGGTGAGACCCTGTTTCCGTCTTGCTCTCTCTGTTGTAATTTTGTTTGTATCACTTGGTCCCTGTCGATGAGCTTCCAACTCGGTTATAATTAACGTCCAATAACATTTGGTTTTGTATTCATGAATGTTGTTTATACGAAACAATTTCCAGCTCTGTTGTTTTTGGTCTTGTCTTCATCAATGTTGTTTATAAAATTTCCAGCCCGGTGGTTGAAATTGTTCGTTGTTTTTTAACGTGCATTTTAGCAGCAGGTTATCTCAATAAATGGGATAAAATTTTTGAAAAAGTCATCTTCTAAATATCACCGTATATATGTAAAATGGATGCTCGCTTCTATATAACAGCTCATTCTTGTTACCATATGTACACTGAAATAAATAGACGATGCAATTTGAAGAATCTAGTCTGACCACGTAATTATGCCTTATATTGTAAAATGTTTTTAGAAAAAAATTCCGTCACGATAAAATCAGAGGAATAGTACTTTTCCAGTTAGAAAGATTACTGTGCAAAGACAATTACCTGACTGTAATTGTCTGAATGGAAGGAATTAGATGATAAAATACCTTGCTGCTAAATGTTAATTTTTTCAGTACTAATATCTGTTGAATGCTTTATTTTTGTGCCGTAATGGTACGAAACATGAACTTCATATGAGGGACGGTAGTGAAGCAGTGACGTGCGGTACCTGCAGCTAATAAATCTCCTTAACGACGCATGCAAGGAACAGAATTAGGCAATCAACTGTATAAATAATGCTTATAACTAGGGGCTGAATTTGGCAATCTAGCGCCTAAATAATGCCTACAAGGAGATACTGATGCATGCGGTCTCAATAATTACTCGTTGATAAGGTGAATTGCGCGTCGACGAAGCGTAAATTTGTTCTCTTCTAATTGAATGTGACTGTACCTTTCTTAGAAGAAAAATATTGAGTTTTGGTGAATGGTAGCATATTGCCGTTTATATTATCATTATATTATTTTAAATAAAATAAATTTCACTTGTAATTTTCGATGAAGGGCGCAGAGGAATTCGAACAAAAGTAATTCGAACAGATGAAATAATGTATTTTTTCTTAACTATTCGACCCATTATGAGCAAAATAACATAAGTCGAGTCATTTACGCCTGTTTTCCTTTAAGTAGTTTAAAACCTTTTATCGAGGTCGAATTAAAGTTGATATCTGTTGGCGCGATCAAAATTTACCATTCGTTCAGGAACTTTAAGTTGTAAAAAAACTTCGCATGAGAATATGCCGTCACTGATTTTAATAACTCTAGAAATATGAAATAGAAATGACAATCCGAAATATCATTACTTAAATTATGCCTACTGTCCCGAACATGATTATAAATTGTATGATATTGCCAAGTGAGCAATAACTGTATGATATTGCCTAGTGAGCAATAACTGTATGATATTGCCAAGTGCGCAATAACTGTATGCTATTGCTGTTTGAGCAATGATAACATTCTATACTTTTTTAAACATGTTGTGTATTGTTCGCTGTAAATGCAGTTTATCTATTCTGAGGTTCAGCTTCTGCATTGTTAATTGCAACTTCATCTGTTGTGCAATTTTTTTGGGACCGAGAACTCTTGAATTATCTTTGTATTATGTACGTCGACCACAAAACGGCTTGATAAAGTTATTTTTGAATAATGTTTATTGTTTTAATACCTTTGAAAATCGGTAGACAAAATATGATGATTGATAAAATTAATCATTGTCTATAATCACATGAATCTAGTATCGCTGCCCGCTTTTCAGCAGCCGCGTTTACAAATAGTAAAGGTTTATCGTTCCTATGATTTTAACCCCAATAAAATCTTTCATTCTATGTAACGGGGCAACGGTTACATAGTTTTTTTTCCATCTCTCTCATTGCAGCCTAGGGCGACGATATCTTCGACAGTCCTCCAAAAAATACGCACTGTGCCGACAATGAAAAAAAAACAAAGACTATACTACTTATGCTGTTGAATGATATTGATTGGTGCATTTGTGTGTAGAGTTCCAGCCAAGCTACACTCTTGCTGATGCTGCGTCATTTGACACTGTCTATCACTGCAATGTTTAACTTTGTTCTCAGCTTACCTACTGGACCCAGCGGCTCTCTTGGAAGTTAAGTTCCTTGTAAACTTGTCCAGTCTGCAGGACGCAAAAGTACTGCAGTGTAACAAGTGCTACTAGCAACTGTAGTTACAATTGTGAGTGTCGCTGTCATAAACGTACTAGCTATTTATAGTAATTTTAATCGTTATTACAGTTGTAAACTTTTTAAGTTGGGTGAAATGAGGCATTGTCATAGAAGGATAAATAACGACGCAGATGCGCGATCAATATAAAGGTCCATAACATTCAAAAGAGCTTTACAGATTCATTTGGAATGCAGTTTGTATTACTCTCTGTTAGTCTCTTGTCACGACTATTCAAGAAGAGGCGTCGTGGTTCAACTAACACTCCCCCCCAAAAAAAGACAACATGTACTTAATGTATATAATGTTTTGTCAGCGTCTCACAGACGAGTGAGTGATCCAATGAACTTTGAGTCCTGCCTCAAAAACTTTAGTAACAGATCGATCTTTCAAAAACATCAAAAGCATATATAAAACACAAACATAAGATCATTTTACTTATATATATTTTTTGGGAGAATGTGAAGGAGAACTTGAAACGAAAAGAAACGGAAAAAATTAAAGTAATATAAAGAAAACGAAAGAATGAGGATATTTCTATCATCATTCGATTTGTAATGCAAATATCTAACGCATTAATTTAATAATAATGCATCAAATAACGTTCACAACTCTGGGCGGAGGCGTGAACGCGGTTGAGGAGCTCGTGTCAACCGTGAGAGCTTCACGCAGCTTCTGGAGCAGGTGGGGGGGAACGGCCGGCTCCCCGTGGTGGACGGTTGCCCACACGTCGCCAGGCTTCACTGTCTCCCCCACCACCTGGCGAATAAGTAATCACTTAATAAATATTGTTTCTGTTTCCCAAAGAACTTTGGTTTTAAAAATTACCGTTGTATAATCGTTAGCAAAGTGTGTGGGGCTTAAGTGAATAATGAAAACATTCATCGAAGGACTTTCTTGACTCAGCAAGAACAGCAAGCACTCACACCACGCTCCTACCACCCACACCACGCACCTACCACCCACACCACGCACCTACCACCCACACCACGCACCTACCACCCACACCACGCACCTACCACCCACACCACCCACCTTGTCGAGTGTGATGCCCACGTCGTAGCGGATGGCATCTCCCGCGCTGGTCCGTCCCGCGCCTAGGGCCACAGACACCTCGGCCACCGCCAGGGCGTCCTGCCCCGTCACCACGCCTGCAAGACTGGACATTCTTACGGCGGTCTTAACGTAAAAATATATAACTCAGTACTCACTGCAGTGAGTGACAGAGAGGGCATTTTCTCGTCGACGAAAACGTGAAGTCACGGACGGACAGACCGCCAGACAGACAGACAGACAGACGGACATACCGAGCACAATAGTGCATTTTTTTCCATAAATGAGAAAATGCGCTAAAAATATTGGACATTGCGTGCTCAGAGTTGCAGAAATATTTACCTTAGCTCCAAAGTACTCCGGCCGCAAATACATGCATAAAAGGTAACAATCGAAGCGACTTGGTCATTATGGAAACTCGCGACGCAGAATGTTAAATTCAACGTAGACTGAAAATTCCCTGGAATTTCGTTTACGATCATTCCTGACCTGAAGCCTCTGCCAGGACGTGCGTGGTGTACGGGGCTGCTGGAAGAGCTGCAGGGTCGCCGCTACAGACTGCAGAGGCAGTCTCAGCACTAACACCCTGAACACGCGATAACTATTATCAAAATATATCTTTGGCAAATAGCGGGAGAGTGTCGAACAAATTTCTGACTGATCTCGAGCGAATCTGAAAATTTTCAGACAAATCTATGGTGCATGTAAAGAAGTGTGTAAAAAAACCTCAGTGCAAACACCACAAAAATGTCTGACTCAAGTCGGACGGATCTCTGACAAACCTTAATAATATTGAGTTACATTAATAGCAGTAAGATCATATTTGATAACCACTATAACGCAAGCTTAAAATGCGAGCGGGACTTGTAAATGGAATAATTGGAATAGGCCTGAACTTAATTATATGGAGATTAAAATTATAGGAGAACGGAATTTAGCGTCTGTACGGTGGAAGATTATGTATAGAATATTAATTAATCAAAACATCTTTATATGTACATATAAATGAATATTGTATTCGTGAACTTATCACGAACATTGATGGAAAAAGCTGAAGTGTGAAGCTTATGCGAAACTTGACTAGCGGAAAAAGGACAAACAATAATTTAGAAGTAGTTCGGCTTGAATTGAAGTAGTTTAGAATTTTAGAAAACTCGTATTAAATAAATATCGTTGTAAATTTCCGCGATTAGATAACTTGATTAGCCTCGGGTTTACAGCTACAAAAAAATACATTCCTGTAAATAACCAGAAACTTCCCGATAATAAGGAATTTAAAAGCAAAGAAAATACCACAAAAATTCACCATATCTTTATAAGAGAAAACGTTTCGGAGTCCAGCTCCATCGTCAGTTCAAACCACAAAATTCTGTTCAGAAAAAGTTCAGTCCTAGAAACACAAATAAATCAATTAGTAAAGTAAATGCACTAAAAATAAATAGATAAGACATGAAAATAATGCTAGTAAACTTAAACGGCCTATCTATTTACTATTTCAAGAGGAAAGGAGCTAAAAGCGGCATTCAGACTAGGCTTCTGTTTGAATTTATACAGGGATTCTAAAATTCGTAGATCACTAACACCGGATGCGGAAGCTAGAATTTTGAAATCACTATCAGATACAGAGGTGTTGCACTGCTCGGCATGAACACGTACAGCAGAATGAGGTGGATGTGCAAGTAGGTTCCCTGTTCTATAACTCCTGCCCTTATGCTCAGCCAGCCTAGTATAGAAATTGCGTGCCGTCATACCGAAGTACGCTGATGCGCACTGCGCACAACTATATCTGTAAACTAGTGACGATCGCATAAGAACAGGTAGGGTATCCTTATACCTGAAAAAAGAGCCGATTCTAAAATTGTTAACCAGCAACACATGAAGATTTACATCCGGAAGATATTTGGCAAATAAAACTTTTAATTCCTTTGACATAGTCTCAGNTGCTGTACGTGTTCATGCCGAGCAGTGCAACACCTCTGTATCTGATAGTGATTTCAAAATTCTAGCTTCCGCATCCGGTGTTAGTGATCTACGAATTTTAGAATCCCTGTATATATTCAAACAGAAGCCTAGTCTGAATGCCGCTTTTAGCTCCTTTCCTCTTGAAATAGTAAATAGATAGGCCGTTTACGTTTACTAGCATTATTTTCATGTCTTATCTATTTATTTTTAGTGCATTTACTTTACTAATTGATTTATTTGTGTTTCTAGGACTGAACTTTTTCTGAACAGAATTTTGTGGTTTGAACTGACGATGGAGCTGGACTCCGAAACGTTTTCTCTTATAAAGATATGGTGAATTTTTGTGGTATTTTCTTTGCTTTTAAATTCCTGGTTAACTTGCGATTCAAGCAAACAAGTGATTTTAATACTTCCCGATAATAATAACGATTTAAATAATTGCACGAATCACACAGTCATGTAAACCGTCATGTATGATTATAAACATGTAGCTTGTTTTTATTTGGAATGATAATGCCTTCATTTCAATATATATTTACTAACCTGGATCTGCAACATATCGCGGAATTTTCCTAATGCCGAGCCATCGCTGAGGGTCTTGGCAATTTTTTCTTTGCCCTCGCTGGCTGACGAGCACAAGCCTGCTGACCTCAGCAGCTCTCCCCCTGAGGGCACCGAGGGCATTTGAAGTTTTTACATCGAACTCTGCAATGTATAGGCAAGTGGGTGCTGTGACATGGCTTGATGATGGTGATTATGATGGTGATGATGATGAGGATAATATCTACGCAATTGTATATTTGAGCTGCTATCGTAAATTTTCAAAATATTCTACACCCTCCTAAACCTAACATTGACTCCACCACTCCCAACAAACAATCATTGACTCCACCACTCAACTTAATCATACACTCCCACATTCCCCTTAATCAATCATATTACCTCCTCAACCAATCAACAATTAACGCCACTACTCCACTTAACCAACCACCGACTTCACCACTCCGAACCTCCTCTTAATCAGCCTGTCACTCCACTTGTCACTCCACTTGTCACGCCACTTATCACTCCTCTTGTCACTCCTTTTGTCACACACTTGTCACTCCACTAATTCACTTCCCCCACCCAGAGCCACCACAAGCTGGCGGAGGTCATCGGGTCCACGGCCGTTGAGACACTCCACTGCCTCCGCCACCTCCAGGGCGTTCCCGATAGCGCGCCCTGGTGGATCATGATGGAAAATTACGATGCACTCCATAAACTCGTGTCAATTTCCCAAAGATAATGGATAGTAGATGTCGGTATGATAAAACTGACTGTTCACGTTGTTGATGTAGAGTACATATAGGTATTGGATAGTGAAAATTAGTGATGCTACTAAAATTTGGTAGGAAAAAGCTCGTGACTGTGATGAATACAAGATGTTGGTGGACGACAATAAAATTTGGAGACTACAGCGATGGACCACACGTCAGTACCAATAGCATAGTTCATGTCTAACATGTACCACACGTCAGTACCAATAGGATAGTTCATGTCTAACATGTACCACACATTATTCACCAATAGGATAGTTCATGTCAAACATATACCACACGTCAGTACCAATAGGATAGTTCATGTCTAACATGGACCACGCGTCAGTACCAATAGGATAGTTCATGTCAAACATGGACCACGCGTCAGTACCGATAGGATAGTTCATGTCTAACATGGACCACACGTCAGTACCAATAGGATAGTTCATGTCTAACATGGACCACACGTCAGTACCGATAGGATAGTTCATGTCTAACATGTATCACACGTCGGTACCGATAGGATAGTTCATGTCTAACATGTATCACACGTCGGTACCGATAGGATAGTTCATGTCAACATGGACCACACGTCAGTACCGATAGGATAGTTCATGTCAAACATGGACCACGCGTCAGTACCAATATGATAGTTCATGCCTAACATGTATCACACGTCAGTACCTATAGGATAGTTCATGCCTAACATGCTGTCTCTTATACACATCTTTTTAACCGCAAGCTTTTCAAATCTCTTCTTGAATTATCTGTGCTAAACTCAATTTTCGTATTTGCTGGCAAGTTTTACAGACAAATTGACGGTTTGGGCATGGGACTTCCACTCGGCCCTACCTCTGCCAATATATTCATGTGTTTTCACGAGGCTACATGGTTGGCCAATTGCCCTCTTGATTTTAAGCCAATTTTCTATAACCGATATGTTGACGATACCTTTTTGATTTTTAAGCACCCCTCTCATGTGGGCCTTTTCTTTGACTATCTTAATCTCCAACATAAGTCTATCAAATTCACCATGGAGCTGGAATCAGACAATAGCTTGTCTTTCCTTGATTGCAAAGTTACCAAATCTAATGGCCGTTTCCAAACTTCTGTTTTTAGAAAATCGACATTTACCGGCTTAAGCACCAGCTTTTTTAGCTTTTGCTCCTTTCGTTTCAAGTTAAATGGGGTCCAAACATTGATAAACCGCGGCTATCGCATTTGTTCTACTTTCCTAGCCATGCACTCTGAATTTGAATTGTTGCGCAATATCTTTTCACAAAATGGCTTTCCATCACACCTGGTGCTCACCCAAATTAAAAAGTTTATGTCCAAGCAATATACTGCAGTCGTTNGTACGGCTGAGGGATGAGGGCAAGACAATGGGTATGGATGCAGGTACGGCTGAGGGGTGAGGGCAAGACAATGGGTATGGATGCAGGTACGGCTGAGGGATGAGGGCAAGACAATGGGTATGGATGCAGGTACGGCTGAGGGATGAGGGCAAGACAATGGGTAGCTATGGATGCAGAAAAGGCTAGAGGATGAAGGTGAGGCGACGAAGATTGATACAGAAAAATGTCGTTGTTTAGGAAAGACGATAGGATAGGAAATACGGCAGGATATATGGATAGAAATTACGCCATATAGAGCTGACGGTGTTGGTGAAGTTACGCGTGACATACATACGCATGTCCGCGTGTGCGTATAACACCTCCGATACAATACGCACACACGATGAGGGGCGTAGAGCTGACGGTGTTGGTGATGTCCCGCGCTGCGTACATGCGCTTGTCAGCGGGCACGACGCTGCGCGTCTGTCCTGTGATGACGCAACCAACCGCACGCAGCGCCTCCTGCAGCTCCTGCACCGTCAGGCACGCGTTCATACCTGCGAGGCCGGGGCACAGAAGAGATTTATTTTGTTATTATAACAAGTATAATAAAAAATAATGTAGTAGAATGTAATATAATATATTATAATATAATATAATTTAATATAATATAATATAATATCATTATTCATTATAAAAAATCAGAGAAATTGAAACTAATATAAAATTTGGGATATAAGATTCATTACTTCTAAGATTAAATAATTAATTAGTGCTGCACATCCCGCCAGCAATGCAATGAAACAGAGCTGAAACTCGTTCAATGCAAGAAACTCGTTCAGCTAAAGAAACGAATAATGAATGTTATTTTTGTTTCAGCTCACCTCAAACTCTTTCCATTATATAATAGCATCAAATTTACTTAACATTCTCATTGATGTTTAAGAACATAACTGACCATTGATGCTCTCAAGCTTGTCGAGCGTGCCTCCCGTGTGGCCCAGCCCCCGCCCACTGATCATGGGGACTTTAAGTCCACATGCGGCCAGGGCAGGGGTTAGGGGGAGGGAGACCTTGTCCCCCACGCCCCCCGTGCTGTGCTTGTCCCCCACGACCCAGCCCTCAGGCCACGTCATCACGTCACCTGTCGAAAAATAATAGTTTACTCAGGCACTCATTTTAACTCATAATACCAATTTTTGCTCAACCAAGAATTTTTTGGAAAATATCTTTTAGATTATCAACTCATAACGACGCTTCATCCCCCTTACATAACTAGCTTAAATTAAAATTAATAAACTAATTAACTGATTCTGATGTCTGTTTTATATGAATTTTAGTGAGTAAATTTAACATGAATACTAAATTCACGCTACATCATTAGTACTCCACAGTCGTTCATGAGATATGAAAGATTCATTAACTGTGTTCAAACGTTTCCCAAGTAATTATCCATATCTACCAGATTAATCGGCATCCACAATCGATAATTTCTAAATTAACAAAAATCCCGTTATCCCAAATTCCGATGACAGCAGTAAAAAAATGTTTGATAAGAAGATTTAATTTGGCTTTAATAAGCAGCGCTCGCCTGACTGCGTCATGGCTACGGTGAGGTCGACAGTCTCGCGGGTGGTCATGCCTTGGATGAAAACGGCCATGAGGAACGCTCCTGTGTATGGAAATTATTTTCACATTAGTATGTATTGCTATTTATCATCATAATATGGATATTATTTTTAGGATTTTGCAATGTGGTTTATTTTAATTGATTGAAAGTTGTATTAAGCTTACGCATACAGTATATTTTTATATTCATCCATATAGATACGTTTCAAAATGCCAAGTTAACATTCTGGTTTTTATTTTATATTTTTTCATCATCGAGTAGAATTCTTTTTGATATGTAATGTCTGGAAAATTAAATATAGACTTTATATATATACTAATATTTTCGGCGATTGGTCAATAGCCGAACAGGATCGGTAACATTACCTGACATGTTTAAAAAATTCGGACAAAACTACGTCCGGTTATGTACTCTGTAGCTAGTTTGTACCCAAAAATCAGACGTAAAAATAAGTGAACCACGTTACCAGACAAGACACCTTTTTACCTGGGTTAGGTCCAGCTAGGTCAAGTTTTTTTACCATTTTTAATATTTCACAAATATCTACATAAATATATAAAAATATATTCAAATAAGCTAAACATTAAAATTTTTAGTAAAACTTTATCATTTTAAATCTACATATATATAAACATATAAAAATATATTCAAATTAGCTAAATATTAAAATTTTTAGTAAAACTTTGTAATTGCAAAATTGACAAATTATATCTGCATGGTTCACCCAGTTGAACATCATCCAAAGTTCCGTCAGCGATAGCAGCCACCAGCCCCCGTAGTTCCTCCTTCGTCAGCTCCCCTCCAGCAGCCTTGGTGGCGATCACGTCCTGATGGCGCTTGCTCCCTCCACCCGACATCGCTGTGACAATGTCCACGCTATCCTGTGCAATATCCACGCTATCCTGTGCCAATATCCACACTTTCCTGTGTAAATGTCCACGCTATCCTGTGTCAATGTCCACGCTATCCTGTGTCAATATCCAAGCTATTCTTTGTCAATGTCCACGCTATCCTGTGTCAATGTCCACGCTATCCTGTGTCAATATCCACGCTATCCTGTGTCAATGTCCACGCTATCCTGTGCCAATATCCACGCTATTTTATGCCAATATCCACGCTATCCTGAGCCAATATCCACACTTTCCTGTGCCAATATCCACGCTATCCTGTGCCAATGTCTACGCTATCCTGTGCCAATGTCCACGCTATTTTAAGCCAATATCCATGCTATCCTGAGCCAATATCCACGCTTTCCTGTGCCAATATCCGCGCTTTCCTGTGCCAATATCCACGCTATTTTATGCCAATATCCACGCTTTCCTGTGCCAATATCCACGTTATCCTGTGCCAATATCCACGCTATCCTGTGCCAATGTCTACGCTGTCCTGTGTCAATGTCCACGCTATCCTGTGCCAATATCCGCGCTATCCTGTGCCAATATCCACACTTTCCTGTGTCAATATCCACGCTATCCTGTGCCAATATCCACGCTACCCTGTGCAATATCCACGCTATCTTGTGCCACGCCAATATCCATGCTATCCTGTGCCACGCCAATATCCACGCTATCCTGTGCCAATATCCACGCTATTCTATGCCAATATCCACGCTATCCTGTGCCAATATCCAAGCTATCCTATGCCAATATCCACGCTATTCTATGCCAATATCCACGCTATTCTATGCCAATATCCACGCTATCCTGTGCCAATATCCACGTTATTCTATGCCAATATCCACGCTATCCCTGTCTCTTATACACATCTAGATGTGTATAAGAGACAGACTCCCAACAAACAATCATTGACTCCACCACTCAACTTAATCATACACTCCCACATTCCCCTTAATCAATCATATTACCTCCTCAACCAATCAACAATTAACGCCACTACTCCACTTAACCAACCACCGACTTCACCACTCCGAACCTCCTCTTAATCAGCCTGTCACTCCACTTGTCACTCCACTTGTCACGCCACTTATCACTCCTCTTGTCACTCCTTTTGTCACACACTTGTCACTCCACTAATTCACTTCCCCCACCCAGAGCCACCACAAGCTGGCGGAGGTCATCGGGTCCACGGCCGTTGAGACACTCCACTGCCTCCGCCACCTCCAGGGCGTTCCCGATAGCGCGCCCTGGTGGATCATGATGGAAAATTACGATGCACTCCATAAACTCGTGTCAATTTCCCAAAGATAATGGATAGTAGATGTCGGTATGATAAAACTGACTGTTCACGTTGTTGATGTAGAGTACATATAGGTATTGGATAGTGAAAATTAGTGATGCTACTAAAATTTGGTAGGAAAAAGCTCGTGACTGTGATGAATACAAGATGTTGGTGGACGACAATAAAATTTGGAGACTACAGCGATGGACCACACGTCAGTACCAATAGCATAGTTCATGTCTAACATGTACCACACGTCAGTACCAATAGGATAGTTCATGTCTAACATGTACCACACATTATTCACCAATAGGATAGTTCATGTCAAACATATACCACACGTCAGTACCAATAGGATAGTTCATGTCTAACATGGACCACGCGTCAGTACCAATAGGATAGTTCATGTCAAACATGGACCACGCGTCAGTACCGATAGGATAGTTCATGTCTAACATGGACCACACGTCAGTACCAATAGGATAGTTCATGTCTAACATGGACCACACGTCAGTACCGATAGGATAGTTCATGTCTAACATGTATCACACGTCGGTACCGATAGGATAGTTCATGTCTAACATGTATCACACGTCGGTACCGATAGGATAGTTCATGTCAACATGGACCACACGTCANGCGTACTGATATTATCTACTTATATTTCAAATTTGAATAAAATCCGTTCATAATTGAAGGAGTTATGCGTGCCAGAGTTGAAAATTAAGTTAGGTTTTCCATTCGAGCTCGCAGGCGAGTTCGCACGCGAGTTCGCTGAAGTGTCGGACCGGTCTTTTTTGAAGGGAAGACCTTCTTACCCAGATCGTCCGTCTGCAGTGACAATGGTCAATCGCACGTTGTATCTTTCCACGGTGGGATTTTTGGCAAATACGCTGGCGGCAATGGCTAGAGATGAACTCTCAGTTCCGGCGGGAAAGCCTGTTGAAAAATTCACACCATGATCTTTACCAACGAATGAACGAATTCATTTAAGTTTATTTGAAGAACAAAAATTCGATTGGTGCAACACAGAACTTACGGTGATTTGATTTCAACAATGTTGCAGATGAATATAAACAATATAAAAGCCTAAATTTCACTAACGTAATTCTGTAACATCTGCACTGATGGTAATCTTACTTTCTTCACACGAGGGTGGGTCCATGGACATGACCAACCCGTCGTTCGCGGTCGTGCTAGTGCAGTTGGAAACTTGAAGAGGAGTGCCGGCCCTAAGAAATTTATTTCCATTTGAAAAGACAAACTCAGTTGTTTCCGGATCATTAGATTGTTCGTAGTTATGATTCATATTTATATTAGTATTTGGATATTAGTTATCAGGTTGTTCTTATGAGCTCTCGAAGAAAATTTCCTTACTCAACAACATACAAGTGGTTATTTGACAATATAAGTTGTCCAATTTGTCAATCGCAAACAATCTGACGCACGGCATCTTGGTCCGTGATTAAAAAATCTGGATTTATCTTTGATACTCAGAGTGATCCAATATTTTGAGTCAGTCGTCATTTTACTTGCTCGCTGATGACTTTTTATTTTAGCTGTGGTTTTGCTTACTCGACGAGAACGACACCTTTGATCTAATGTCGTCGTTCGTCAACGATCCTAAATTTTAGCTATTTTTCAGTCGGTTGCAGAGTAAGATACTTAAGTTTGTAGCGGTTCAGTTCAAGATTTTGAATTAATGTAATAAAAGTATTTAAAAATTTTGAATTAGATTTAGTCGTAAAAATAAGATTCCTTTATAAATGAACGTCACCACAATGAATACGACAATAGTTAGCTTTATTCCAGCTTTAGTATTTTTATTCATTACACTAGAACCTCTTATTAGAGTAAGTACTTAGGTGTAGCAACGGTTATCCTGTACTAAATTCTTTGTTTAATAGCTAATTTGATTTATACTGTTTACAATCGTTTTCAATGTGTTTATATTTATGTAACTTATAAAAATCATTTATTCATACAGGGTTCAATACTGAGAACAGAAAAAGCGTCTTTTATTTCTTCAAACCTGATCGTGAGATGCTTACCTAATTATTGAAGATACCAACTCCTCCTCCTTTTACTCACTCGTCGCATATACAATTTCTTCATGATTCCACCATACCTTGCCGCAGGCAGATACTAACTCCCTCATAATATACCACTCACTCGTCCAGGACACTCCAGGTGTAGAGAAGAGCGCCGTCCCCGCACTCATCGATGCAGGCTCCGTTGAGCCCCAGTCTCAGGGATGGGTTGATGAGCTGCATGTTGGTCAGCGGCCAGCACAGAGACGCGGTCGCACAACTGTCAACATAATGAGAACGTAGGCTTCACGTCACCCTTCTTCAAGTCAATGCACTGTGTCAATGATACCTAGCTGATGAGTACAGTACCTATATGAATACTTTTGGCAAAATTTAAAATAATTGGAATCAACAGTAGTTAGTATGGTTAGGCACCTAATGTAGCTATATTTCAAGGAAATTTTAAGCTTAACCGACATTATTTTAAATGAAAGTAACTGGAAATTAAATGATTAGCGTTAAATAAAAACGGAATAGACAATCCGAAACAATTCTGGATGTGAATTTGTTGACTGACGTGATGGTTACAGAAGGTCGAGGAAGAGGAGTGACTTCGATCTCAAGAGCAGCCGTTGCCGTCCTATCGTCTTTGTTGATGACCACGACCATCTCGAAGAAGGCTGACGTCTGGCTGAAGGTCGCCATGTCGAACAAGTAGGATGTTGCACCAACGTCGATTGTGCCTATTTGAATGTAAATCTAGTATTGAATGTGCTACATGCCAGACGTGATAGCATATTCGAAAATAAAGACACAAGTTTATCTGTGATTGTATAACATCTATGTTTTTGGGGTGGGGCACTGTACTGCTTTCTCTGACAACAAATAAATGCTGAAACAGTTGAAAACTAACACGAGTAATAATCAGCGATCGCAAATTTAACAAAATAAAATTGTAACCGCTGACATTTAGCCTAATTTGGTTGCGTCCCATTCTAGCAATGGTCTTCAAGTTCAACCTGACTAGGAGTATAATTTACACAAGTAATCAATTTGTAGATGGAACAAATTTTAATAACATGAAAAAAACACTTAACATGATATCGGATGCTAAACTATATACGGTGTCTGATTATAGTGGTTGAAATTATTTTACATACTGTAGGTCTGAAATGAAACTGAACAGTATTACATGGAATTAAACAGTATAGCATCGTAGAACTAGCATAAAGTACTGCATCTCACGCCAACCACAACAGCCAGCGTCAATAAGAATAAGACAATAAGGTGTCGCAATGAGGAACTTATCAACTATAAACATAAGCTACGCGCTATGCGTAAAAGCTGCGGCTTCAAAAATAATTGTCAACAAAAAATGTTGTCTTGGTTACAGAGTAAGTATGAAGGGCAAGAAATATATACTTTAGACCAATTTTGTAAAGTATGTTTCGAAACAAGTGGAGTATATTTTCTTGTACAAGAAAAAGTATATCATGTATATGTATATCCAATATCATTCTGCATGTATGAAAGTTCTGTTCATAAATAGTTCCAGTTACGAGTATATCTATCATGTCACTCACCACTTCCGTTACCGAAGCAGCCTGAACTTTTGTTCATGCTAACGGCTTGAAGTCGAGGCGGGATGGTTTGCAAGTTGTTTATTAGAGTGACATTATTTGCGTCAACAGTGAATGCTGGGTCAGGAATTGGTTCGATTTGGCGGCAGTGCCACGTCACGTTCTCAATCTGTTGGAAATAAAATTGCAGTTGAAAAATCTTCATCGAAATTACACTACACTTGCGTCCGTATTATTACGATTATTGCCTCAAAAAATGGCGTCTCATCAATCGTTGGTATACGTTGCTTTTGCTATAATGATGTTTCTCATGAAGAAAACATCTCAACGTCTTCCACGAAATTTTTATTTTAAAATTAACTAGAAAATCTGCATTAACTTTTTTAAATTTTTATTTGAATGATTCCAGATTTACTGGCGGCGATCTCATGTGAAAAAATCTGTCATCAAAATTTCAATTATTTTTGAAAGACATAAAAAGCTTCACTCGCTCTTGATCGGAATAAATGAGGCTGATAATGACCGACCCACTAGGCTAGACTAAAACTTTTCACACTTTCACTTTTATTGTGTTCCGTGTCACCTGCAGCCGAAATTAATTATGAATTTTTTGTCCTCGGCGTGCTTGCTAGAATAATTTATTTTCAAATAATGTTATAATTTCGGGAATAATGTACTTAGCACCTACAGAAAAATCAATTCAAGTGATATCTATATTCCGATCATTATATTGGCATTCCACATTTTAATTTTTGCAAATAATTATTTAATTTTTTTAAATAATATTATTTGAATAACAATAACATCGTGAAGCTCACAGGGACATCCGGATCGTCAGGATCGTAGCTGAGGCTGCCGGGCTCGAGGCTGAGGGTCTGTTGAAAGCCTCTGCTGAGGGCTGTCTGGGACCCGCTCACCATGACAGGGCTCAGAGGGCTCTGATCCAAGACAAGTAGTTCATGACAAGTAGTTCATGACAAGTAGTTCATGACAAGTAGTTCAAGACAAGTAGTTCATGACAAGTAGTTCATGACAAGTAGTTCATGACAAGTAGTTCATGACAAGTAGTTCATGACTAGAACTTCTCCAAGACAGACAAGTTCTCATGGACATTTTATAAATTTATCGCTTTTGAATAAATTTTATGCGCAGTTTAATTCCTTGCATCTTCGAATTCATGCTTTTTGCAAAATGTTTTCACTTCATTCATACTCAATAAGTTTTTACCTTGTACGCATAATTTATGAGTAATTTTTTTCTTAACATTTTCAATTTATATGCAAGATGCTTCCACGTATCTACAGACTAAGTCCCAAGTACTTGCAAATAATTTACATACAGTTGGCCCGGAAGACACTTTCGAATGCATGATATTTCCTTGCATGACCTTGGCAATTAGAAAGCATGAAATTGGCAATCAGACCATAATATAAATAAATAAATGGCAATTACCTTGATAATTCGAACGTAAGTTTTTGCAGTACGGGTGAGGTCAAAGCGCGTGACGATGGTGACGGAGAAGGTGAGTTTGTAGTAGCCGATACTCAGGGTGAACGGAGTGATGCTAAGTAGGGAGTTGTTCCAAGTAGGAACGACGTCTCTGAGCGTCACGGTCTGAAGCACCTGCTCTGTCCTATCTTCCACTTGTATTGCGTTCCATTCATACCTAAATGGCAGTAACCGTTACAGCAATAATATTATCTATGAACTATGACATTTTAACTATGACATTTTAGATTATCATATCATTCAATTAACTTAGTTCTCGGAAATAATTTGTTTTCATATCTCTGCAATCCAGAGCATTATGCACAAACTATTATCGATCTCATACTTCAACAAATATTTTCAGTTCCATTAATTTTTAATTTATTTTGAACAACCAAATGCATAATCACGAAAAGTTCGATGATTAAGACCTGTTGATCGCAGTAGAGCGAAACAGGACATCGCTCGTCTTAATTCATGTGAAAATCGAATCCACTACCGCGATCATCTTTGATGATTAATCTAAATTAATCCCGTAAAATATCGCCGCTCGTCTCACCTAATCGTGTAGGTCGAGTTGCAGTTTATGATGCTCATTCCTTCCTCTCGTACAGGCAACATCCTGTACAAATTGCGCGCAAAGTAGGTGTAGTTGACCGCATCCACGATCGACACCCACGGGAACATGCAGTCAATGTCGGCCACGACCATCTCCAGAACTGAAGGCAGGTTCATGTACAAGTCGAACGCCAGAGCGTTGATCTCGTATACGCTCTCATTCCTGGTTGAACAACGATGAATAAACGTAAATAAAACGTAAATATCTGCTTTCAATGAGTTAATAGCCTTTGTTACTCTCATAATTACAGGGAAACTGATTTGAAAATATAATTATCTATTTTCAATGTACTTATATGTCAGCGCCATTATTACTGGAGAAAATTTTGTTCCAATATACTTTGTAGCAAAATATATTCAAACGGCAAAAATAACATGAAATAAATAAAACGAAACGATTTTTGATTGTTCATAAGTTCGTGATTCGAGATGCCAATTTTTAAACTCACTATAGGAAATCAAAATTTGACTTGAGCTTCCGAGTGAACCAGAAATTTCGGTTGAGTGAGAGATAAATAATGTATCTCTCACAATCTCCATGAATAAAATCATTTGCATATCACAAATCAATTATTGAATTAGTCATAATCTCGTAGCCATTGTGATGACGCTATGAAGATGATCTCTATTAGGAGAGTAAGACGTAATGTTTGAGGTGGGTAATAGTTACAGCTGAGTTAATTAAAGGAATCAAGTAATCAGGCTGATTGTTCTTAATGAACTTTTATTCGGAAAGACTGGTTGAATATCCTGAAAATTTCCTGTCCACAAGGGTTAACGGGAATGCTGAATCGAAAAAGATTTGTAACTAATGCCCAAAATCAGCTGAGTAAAAATTTACATTGTGATTTTTTTCCATTTTGCATTTTAACGTCTGTGCATCTACTACCACAGATAAAACAGACTCACTGGTATGTGTGCATTAGCTTGACAGGGGCAGAATTCAGCGGGCCCATGTACTTTGCGTCGGCGTGCGTAGTGTTGCAGCGCGACGGAAATCCATACGTTTCTACGGGCGACTTATCCCCCCAGTCCACCACCAGGCAGGAGATGGGAGTGAGGATGTCGTATGCGCCAAGCACTTGCTTCGGCACACCCTGAATGAGTGAAGTAAACGTTAAAAATTTTTGCGGCAAATTTTCTGTTAGGATAGATCGCATTTCATCGTCATTTGTATTCTTTCTTTCGAAAATAGTTCTTTTGCTTGTGTTCTCATCGGTAATCGTCTTTTCTAACCCTGAAAAATTCTTATTTATTGTTTCGCTATCACCATTTCTATTTTTTTAATGGCTCGTATGAATGATTATTCGATTATTCACAAGATTTTACATTTATTTTACTATTTCACTACATTTTTCCGTATTCGAACGTTGATAGGTCGATTCCCACAACTTTTAATTGGTCACTTGTAATAGATTTCCGCGAAGTCACATGCCTATTTTCTTTCGATTTATTGCACGAGACAGACCGGTTTGGCGAGGGTGAGGTCATCCTCGAGTCTGAAGTTGGCGATCTTGTTGACAAGTGTGATGTTGATGGGCGGTGAGTCGATCCAGCCTTGAACCGTATTGTTGCCGCTCACTATCAGGGTGAAGTTGCCCTCCTGTATGGATGGTGACATTTTTAGCTACATGAAATTTATCTTCTGTGTGTATGGTGACATTGTTACCAACATAAAGTTGCCCTCCTGTGTGTATGGTGATATTGTTAGCTACATGAAGTTGCCCTTCAGTGTGCATGGTGACATTATACAGTATAACAACTGATATTATCTTTCAGAGTACATGGTGATTGTGTTTTAGTGGCTCTGACGTCAACTGCCTATTGACTCCTTCATATATCTTCATATATTCACGTTATCATTATTTTTCGTAAACACCTTGAAATTATGTCCTCATTAAGCCTCTCATCCTCACCAAGTGGATCAGAATTCTACTCATGGTTTTTGTGCAAGAATTTTGGGATTGGGCATGAATTTGCGTTCTAGAATTATTAGCTCACGGCAGGGAAGGTGACGTTGAAGAAAAACTTGACGTACGGGAACTGCTGGCCAATTTCTTCCAGGCCGTTTTCCAAGATCCTTAGCCTCCAGTACTCGCCTTCGCCTATCGAACAACAGCAACAACAAAATCATAGACTTCAAACCGTACTTCATTGCCACATCTTCATACTTCAAAACAATATTTTCTAGATACATATGGTGTGCTCGATCATTCCATCTCGCCACAAGTAATATTATTTACCCGTTCGTGCGGTGGGGTAGATGATGACCCTCTTGTCTACGATGTAGATGTTGAAGTTCGGACCCACTCCATCCATCTCATTCCCGTCCTGAACCCATTTGATGATGGCCGACACATTGCGTATGGCTTCTCGCACCTCGTACTGTGCGTCGACAGGTATGGGTGAAGGAAAAACATTTGGCTCAGGTTCAGATTGAAGAAATCAATGAAGTGCACGTTTTAATAAGAGGCAAGAAAATTATTCCGCCGATATAACTTAATCATTTCTAGATAATGCTTTTTAACGGATTTTTAATCGTAGATTTACGTATCGACAATATTTTTTATTTAAAAATGATTTCTGATAATTTTTTGGCAAATAAAAAAATTATAACTAAGGAGTTTATGTGAATCTTTCATCAATCTATAATAAAAGAGAGCAGCAAAAAAACAAGCAAAAATAAACCATTGCTTTTTTGTTCTGAGATTTTTGTAAATTTCCAGCTGCCGATCACAGCAGTTTTATTCGATTTTAACACGAATGTCTACTTATTTCCTAACTCAAATGGAACCTGTTTAAGCTTTTTAGGATTTTCTTGGAATCATTTGCAGTCAATGTAGTTAAGTATATGCGCAAAACTTTTGAAAAATCATTGACAAAACATCGAATCCCACATTCGGAGACATAAAAGCAACGGTTTACAAAAGAACGGCTCGCGTTATGTGGCGTCATGGTTAAGAAACTTCATTCGCAAAAGTCGCAACCACAAGTGGTTGCCGAGTTCAGTGTAGTATTGACAGACACTTCGTTGGCAAGAGTCGCCACCACCGAGTGGTTGCCTGCTCTCGACAGCATGACTAACCGAGTGCAGCGCCGTAGTGACCTACACTTCGTTGGCAAGAGGCGCCACCACCGAGTGGCTGCCTGGGCCGATACTTTCAAAACTCGCTAAGTGAACGTTAGTACTTACGCTCGATTTTCTTGTCTATGATTGGTGGATTTTGCTTGAAAGGCCGTCAATGATTGGCTGATGAACTTACGATCTCTTAACTTCTTTTGAAAGTACAGGCCCAGCTCTCGACAGCATGACTAACCGAGTGCAGCGCCGTAGTGACCGACTCTTCGTTGGCAAGAGTCGCCACCACCGAGTGGCTGCCTGCTCTCGACAGCATGACTCATCGAATGCAGCGCCGCAGTGACCGACACTTCGTTGGCTACTTCGTTGGCAAGAGTCGCCACCACCGAGTGGCTGCCTGCTCTCGACAGCATGACTCATCGAATGCAGCGCCGTAGTGACCGAAACTTCGTTGGCAAGAGTCGCCACCACCGAGTGGTTGCCTGCTCTCGTCAGCATGACTCACCGAGTGCAGCGTCGTAGTGACCGACACTTCGTTGGCAAGAGTCGCCACCACCGAGTGGTTGCCTGCCTTCGACACGACCGTCCCACTCCACGTGAGCGGGACTGCAGCACCGCTGGCCCCTCCGGGAAGTGACACTCCGTCAAATGTCCCGAAGTTTTCGATGAAGTTTGCTGCAAAATTCAGAGTAAAAATTGGATATTTTAGCATGAAATGAATTTTAAGTATAGTCCTTTATAAAATAAATATTCGGCGAATTATTAATAAACACATGGAAGATCACGTATTGAACGATAATTTTATCATCACGTAAAATGACAGGCGAAACCTTGTTCCTAGATAAACAGATTCGTAAGGTCACATATTTTAGGTAAGGTAAGCGAGACGTAATAATAAAGGTTCATCTAATTCATCCATTACAAAAAAAAAATTAAACATAATTTACATAAAAAATATTAATATAAGAAATACAGAGTTCATAAATTATTGGAGTACAATTTTAGACCATTCATAAGCAATCACCTCTTTAATTGTGTGTGACTTGAGTAGAGACAAGCTCACCTCTGAAAATCTCCGAGAGTAGAGTCTACTGCGCACCTTTGACAATTTCCGAGAGTAGAGTCTACTAGCTGCTCACCTATGACAATTTCCGAGAGTAGAGACTACTGCTCACCTATGACAATTTCCGAGAGTAGAGACTACTGCTCACTTCTGATAATGTCAGAGATAGTAGAGACTACTGCTTACCTTTGACAATTTCGGAAAGTAGATATCACCCCGTACCTTTGCAGATTTTGAAGGCTAGAGGTCACTGCTTGCCTCTGATGATGTCGAATGATGGATACCACTCCGTACCTTTGACGATTTCGGAGAGCTGAGATCCATCGCGGAGGATGATGTCGTCGGTGATGTTGATAGTAGCGTTCCATGGTGGGTGCGCAGTGGCGGGCCATGAGAGTGTCAATGTGTAGCCGGAGTCCCAGTCGTAGCAGGGGCAAGCGGCCGTCAAAGTCCACAGGTCAGTGATGTTCGGGATCACGCGAATGAAGCTCGTGAAGTTCACCTGGTGGGTTAAGAACTCGTAATTAGTGATAAGAATTTATCGCGGATAGACAAAATAGCGGATATACCGAAAACGATTATTTGAGCATTTTGGAACTCGCTTTAGCATGAACTAATGTCCTTTATATCTGTTATTGACGTTGAGATCTTTGTATACTCTGAAATCGACCTTTTTGTAGTTGTCGTCTGTCCCGTTTATCAATTCTACTAAATGAACACCGTATACTTCAAGAAATATTTCATACAGCAGCGTGATCTATACTTCCGTGGGCTACTGTAGGAGCTGACGTGAAGGAGAGTGACAAGATAGGACAATTATATATGTATGTTTGAATTATATTTGTGTAAAATGTAATCGCTGTGTGTTTGATTCCGAAAGAATTTACATTTTATTTACATAGTGCGCTAAACTCACTCTGTTGAGGGCATTGAAGGCCTCCCCCACGAGGGTGTACTGTCCTTCCATGGGGTACAGCAGAGGCTGCGACCACGTGTGACTGCCACCCACGCTTGCATCTGAACAAACCAAGCAACTATTTACATCTTCCAAAAAACAATAGATCAGAAAATATAGATCAACGTTAAAAATTAAAAAATGAATTCTAATGCTCACTATTTAAATCGAACGTACATGAAGAGCTCGAACAGCATTTCGATAAGTGAATGGTCCTGAAGTGTGAATCTAAGCTTTCCAAAGCCCCTAGTTTTCATTAGCGAAAGTATATACAAATCATTTTATTAAATAATTTAAGCGTCATTAATCAGATAAGGACCTACCGTCATGGTAGCTGTAGTACTTTACACCGTCGATGTTCATGAACATTACAATTGGGGCGCCCTGAAATTCAAGAAAATATTAGTGCTTTATTTTAACACTTTTGTTAGTAATATGTTTATACTCTCAAAATGACAAATTAATTTTTTTTCATGGACTGCTGAAGGTTGTTATTGATCTTTACAGTGATTGTTTCATAGCTTTTTACTATTCTGAGAATAGAAACAAGCTTCTTACAATCCCTTGCATGTGTTGTTATAATAGCATGATCCACCGATTTACATAAAAATTAGGAGACGCTGGCTGAAGTCGTGGACTACGATCTATTACCTGCATGAAGGTTATCTCGAGGAGCAGGCCGGAGCCGTAGGCCGTGACCGATTACCTGCTTGTAGGTTATATCGAGGGGCAGGTCGGAGCCGTAGGCCGTGACCGATTACCTGCGTGAAGGTTATATCTAGGGGCAGGGCGGAGCCGTAGGCCGTGACCGATTACCTGCGTGAAGGTTATATCTAGGGGCAGGCCGGAGCCGTAGGCCGTGGCCGATTACCTGCGTGAAGGTTATATCGAGGGGGAGGCCGGAGCCATAGGCCATGATGACGGCAGGGACGTTCGTTGGAGGCAGGATCTGAACCTGGCAGAGCGCCGTCAGGGAGTCGGACTTGACCGGGCCCATCGGGCTCGTCACCTGGTTTGGATAAAATTATAAATAAATATAATAAAATAAATAAATTACGGGTAACTTTTTATGCTAAAAAATATTTCGATCGTTAGCTCAAAATGAAGAACTTACTGGTTGAAAATTTTTCTTTAGAGTCACTATTAGGTAGATGAGATGCAAACGTTATAATCAAATCATTCAAATGTAACGTATGTTTAAAATATTTGCAATTATAAAGTTTTTTAAATTGAACCTCTCTTTTAAATTTCATCCACACGCCCTCTTATATCCTATTATACTTATGAAGCGACTGAGAGAATAATTTATTTATATTACAGTGTTATTTACAATTTATTGCGAAGTGCTCGGTAGCAAACCCTTATTTAAAATAGTTATCCTCATAAATCCTAATCAATTTTCTTCACGAATTTTGGAGTAACTATTCTATATGTTTACTCCACTCATAATAAAAATGCATGCTATGCTGAAACTAATGTATTTGCATTGTTGATTTGAACTGAACATTCACCAATAAACGAGATTTCAAATTGAAAATGAAATGCCTGCATTCCAAGAGAACTAACGATTCAATTTGTCCCCAATGAGTCCAAAAATTGCAGAGGCAAACTTTTTAAGTGTTCAGTCTGAGCATTTCCGGTCCTTTGCGCATGAGTTACTTGAAGTTAAGTTGCATGAGAGCAACTGACAAGGATATGTAAATATTATAAATATTTTGTAAAAAAATTATTTTAAATTTGTCTTATCCACAACATTCATTACTCTGGGACATTATATATTGCTAGCATGATATTTTACAGAACTGTAGTGATTTCATCGATATGTCATTAAAGTAAACATCGTTTTTATACTGTTTAGATGTCTTGATTTTGAAGGAACAATTTTATCTATAAACTTCGTATAAAGAACTGAAGCCGAAAAGAGGATCGTTCTAGAGGCTAGAGACATGAATTTCAAACTGCAGAAAGAGGACTTATGGCTAATCGAACAAATTCTGTTGCTCCAAGAATTACAACTTAACTATGCTCACCGAAATTGAAATGTTGATGGCACTTTCATTGGCGTATTGCTCTGTGGTGACGTCATAAGGCGTAGGGACGTTTGCCACAGGCACGACTGAGGGCTTAGTGCAGTTAAAGTCCGGCAACACTCCCACGTTTGGGTGCTCCTCGACGTAAAAACGTACGCTGTGGCTGCTCGACAAATGGAGGAAAAACGCAGTTGGTTGATGCAATTAAGAAGACATTATAACTGGTACAAGAAGGCAATATCACATGTTAACCTCTATTTTCGAGATATTATTATTATTTGAGATCTACACACTGTATTACGTTACAGATGACGCTCGGTATAATAAAGTTAGGTATCTATCATAGATCATTTCGGCGTTTTTCCGTAGGCAATGCAATGGCAATTCTTGGTCATAGTTACTTAGTCATAGATTGGTTAAATTGTTTTTGAATTGTTCTTCCAATTTGTTGAGAGGCTTTTAATTAATTTTTAGCTAAGATCTTGCACTTTCAAGTCTCGTTGCTGATCATTAATTTGTAAATGGTTTATCAAGATTCCTTATGCTTAAAAAACTGGTCATCAAGGGCACTATATTTAGAGTGATATTAATTTTAAGAAATTTAAGATATCATAGAATATTCATACAAGATTACTTTAAAATGATACGATATAAGTCTCGCTAATAGAACGTCTGACCTGACGTTGGTCGCCGTGACCAGAGTCGTGTCCGAGACTGCAACCAGAAGATCTCCGGAAACCGAGTTCGGTTGAGTCACAAACTGGAATGTTTTCATTAGTTCTTTATTACTCAAACACAACTTAGCAATATTTAATATTCTCAAGAAACATTTTATATTCATTTATTATGTATCTTTAACCTGGAAAGGTGTTCCTCCGTGCTCGTAAGAGACAAAACAAGCCGATCTTCCAAACAACAAATAATTAAAGCGGCGAAACAAGTATTTAAAAGAAATAAGAATCAAGCATATACATGAAGTTAAATAAATTACCAGATGCAATACATCGCGTATGACCCTAACCTTTCTTTCGTTTAAAAAAGTTATTGACGTCAATAATATATTTTTAGAGAGCAGTAAATGAGCTACAAATTTCCGCATATTATTATGCAATAGACCATCACCAGAAGTAAGTGTACAGTACCTGTGCGGCGGCGGTGTTGACGAAGCCGATGTAGGTTCCCTGCTTGACTGCAATCGGGGGCTCAACGAGCACCGATGCAGGCACGCCGCCTGTAGCTGGCACGGTCACGGTGCCCAGAGATACCAGCTCATACCCGCTGGGGGCTGCGAATAATATGAATTGTATTCATTATTTACACATTGGTAGATAAACAAAAATTGTTTTCTTTTAATATTTGAATTTGTAAATTATTTGTGTTATTACTTGGAAAATTTCTATTGATTAATTTCCCGAGTTTTTCTAATATAGTCCCTTCTCTATAACCTAATATAAAATTTCGCAATTTTCTACTATAATTAGGAGTGCATTATGAGCAACTTAATGATTTCTGATTTTCAAATTGTGGGCCGAATGAAGATGATGTCCGTCAGCTCGCAAGTTAGAAATAGACAAATCGCGGATACTCAGACAAAAAGAAACCGAATGTGAATAATAAAGAGAAGTATTGAAAATTTTTTGCATCCTGATTGAAATAAAATCTAACGTAATTCCGAACTTAACTTTAGCTTTGTGCCTTAAATAACTAAATCTGATGATGAGTTAGAGTTTAGAATTAAATTTCATCGTTGATGCTTTAATAATTAATCTTAATGTGAATAATTAACATTTAAAATTAAATTAAAGTTTGGCACCTTAAATAATTAAACCTGTCGGTGAGTTAAAGTTTCCAATATAATTCAATATTTGCGCCTGAAATAATTTAGCCTGTTGGTGAGTTGAAATTTCGAGTTTAATTTAATTACCGTGTCATAAATAATTAATATTAATCATGACCTCAGCGGGAATTTGAACCTGTAAGAGGGCAGGCTGAAGAGCAGGCGCTGATGCCGGGACAGAAGCTGCTGCCGCTGCACGCAGACACGCAGTCTGTGCCGCAGCTGCCGCTGCACGCAGACACGCAGTCTGTGCCGCAGCTGCCTCGACAGAACTGCCCTGTAGCGCATGCCGGCGTCAGGGCCTGATAAAGTTAAAAGAACAAACTGTGTCATGCTTGAATATAATTCAGATTAATGCGATTCCTCAAAAAAATTGAGCACTTGAAAATAGTTGAGAGACGAGAATTTAATCATAACATTTTACACTCAATCTTGAATTGTGTGTCAAGCTTGAAATGATTGAGGGTAAAGCATTCACTCATAAATTTCACACACAATACTGAATGCACGACACATAATCACGAATTCTGGTGCGTAGGCGCATAATCACTGAGTAAGTCTACCGGTTGATTTCCTTCTCATGGTTTCTCATTGTATTTAAGAACTGTTCTATTTAAGAACTGTTCAACCAAGAGCACACCTGTCAATCGAGTATCTATACTTGATATCCATTTTATACAGAAATTAATGAACTAAGATTTAACCCGTCAATCGATTTCATTTACCCCTTCCCCCACTAAAATTACAAACTTTTTAAATAGGTGTACGTTTTTTTTACCCAATTTCCATTTAAAATCTAAAAATTATTTAACTAAGAGTAAGGCTGACCCTGATATCCAAGACAGCATCGCCACTGGCCGTGGTAGCCTCCACTTTGACCAGCAGCCCGTCGGCCGCCACCAGCCCGTGCACGACGTTGTATACGAAGCTCGTGGCCGGCGTCGCGCTCGCCCCTGTGGTTGCCGGGGTGCCGGGGTCCACGGTCGTGCCGTACACGCGAGATACCGACCCTGACGGAGAATTTCTTGGTTGCATATGTTTTGTAGACGAACAATTATTGTTCATCTGTATATTTTGTATAGTATTATTTCGACACGTACCTTGAAGGCATACAGGTCTAATTTTTAATTTAAGTTCGTGGGCCTATACTTTCAAAAAAAGTTAAGAGATCGTAAGTTCATCAGCCAATCATGACGGCCTTGCGAGCAAAATCCACAAATCATAGACAAGAAAATAGTGCTTAAGTACTTAAGTTCACTTAGCGAGTTTTGAAAGTATGGCCCCATGAAACGTCCTCGCAAGAGTGTGTCATCTTTGAGGAAAATATGCGCTAAAGATAATTTTTGAAATGTAAAAAGTTTAGTGTTCCTGATAATAATATTGTGTTTAATCAGTATTAAATACCTAAATTTATCTCTTATGAACATAAAAATCAATATATGCGCGTGGTAAATTTTTAAGTTAAAAATGAAATTTATTTCCATAGGTGAAATCAAGTTTTTCTGTCTTTTTGTTGTGTAGTTGCTTTTCTCCGATTTCTCCTCCAAATTTAATATAACACAGGAGAGCATATCAGCTAACACTGATGTTAGAGCGATTTGGAAGTAATATCATGAGGAAGCTGGAATACAATTATTGAAATTTAAGTTCAAATTAAAAAAAACGATAAATGGAGAGAAAAATACTAGAAATATTGTATTTTTGTATGAGGGATGCCTTTCAAAGTTGATTAAATATCGGTTACCACACCATGCAAGACGAAAAACAGTAAAACAGTCTTCATTAAATTAAAATTCATTAATTCATTCCGCAGCAGAACCAACTATATATTAAACAATCTTTTGCCACTGATAAGCCGCATATGATTCATAAGTATCAAATACTCGCCGCATCACAAGCACCTCATTTAGGTTCAAGTATGGCACTCACCGGGCATGGGCCCTGTTCCGGTCAGGGCTTCGAGTGGGGAGGCGATGCTGTAGCTGAACGTGAAGTTGTACCCCTGAACCAAGTTGCTCATATTACACGGCGCTGCCACGTTAAGTTCGTACACTGAAGGGCACGTGACGATGAAGTCAGGTACCTCCACCACCGTCACCTCAAATGTCGTCACAACAGACGGAGAGGCGATCGGCCAAACTGCGGGTGTCGGAGTCGAGGTAGAATAGAGGCTATATGTTAATGGCAGAACTGATAAACTGGATAAACTTAAATGCACTTCGGCAATGGATTTTGACTCATCCTACATGAGTCAAAATTAAATGATAAATATAAAATCAATCAATCCTGAGCAGATTGAAGGTTTCTAAAATAGTATAATTTCAGCAAGAAAACTCTAGGAACTCTAAATTAGGCAGGTAATTAGTAAGTTGTAGGTGAACCACTATGAAACAATTTCAACAACAAATAGTTACCCTAAATTAGGTAGCTGCCTTTTTGGGCGTAGGTCTACATCTTTGACATTTCATCACGTTAAAGTTTACCCTGTATTTGATAGGTGCCAGGTAGAGTGAACTTGTAAGTCGTGACACTTCCACCACTCTGGGCCCCGTCCCCCCAGTCCACGGAGAAGTCAGTGGTCCCCACCACCTCCAACGTCACGGTCTACCAAGTGAGATGATGAATTTGAATTAAAAGTTTGATTAATATTGAAATCAATAACCAAAGAATAGAATTCTTCGCCATACCGGTCAATCAAGGTGCATGCTTAAACGTAAAATCTAGCGTTTAATTTTATTCCTAGGATAAAAAGGTAATGAATAAAGTTTAGGAGAATGGTTATTAGAAAGATCAAGATGATTATTGTGTAGCACGTAACATGGATTCGAAAAATTAAATGTAATAATTAAGACATGGAATGACTACAAATTTAAAGGTAGTCAAATTTTAAATTTTTTCTTCTACTAACAATGGCACTGGCAATAGTAAGTTGATGTTGGGAGCACTAATGCCGTTATATATACATGTATCTTGAATTAAGGGGTGTCATATCAGGGAAAATTGGAAAACAAATTGCGATTTAAGTCATTCAATGTTTATCCAGTTTCATCAGTAAGTTAGCCTCAACGTCTTCGTCAGCAATTATGTTCTGCCTAATTTTTCATACTGTAGTCGGATGTTTTTTCGCATCACATGTTCAGGCACTATACAATTTCCCTCGTTAGCCTCTAAATCTCTTTCCAAGTTTGTCACCTCATCTATCATTTCTTCACTTCCTCACTCCCATTCTGCAGTCACCCATCTAATCCGCATGCAGATGAACTCACGTCAGTGGTCTGGACGAAATAGGGTTCAACAAGCCCCGTGAGTGAGGCGTTGAAGTATGCAATCGTGGCGAAACCTGACCACGTCGAGAAGTGTCCCATCACGAGACCTCCACAAGTGCTCCCGTCCGCACAAAGGGCGTCGCAAGTTCCCGTCGTCGTCAAAGCTGGAATAAGAATAGAAAAAAATCATGACGAGCCGTTTATTATTTCTGTGATTTATAGCATATTACCTGTTTTACATGGGAAATAATCACGATATATTTTCGATTCGAACAATTTTAAAGTCATTGTGACACTATTCTAATGGCCACTGTCAATATGTGCTTAATTCTATTGAATAATTTTCCCTGAATTCCAGAAGACGTCAGGATAAAACTCACCAGAAACGGCAGCGGCGGCACCACAGAAGCAGTAGCGTCCGCGGTCGATGCCAAAGGCATCATGCCCAAGTTTGGTGCACTCATCGTTGCACTCCTGGGGGCCGGACAGAAGCTCCGTCTCGTTGTATGGGAAGATGTAGTGGAGTGATCCTGTTACGCTGGGCAAGGCGGGTGCTGCGACATTGTCCTGGAAACATCCTAGCACTGAAAAAGATAAGTCATGTATGTTAGTGGAGATTTTTATAGATAAATTACATTTCTGCTCTTTAATTTAAAAAGAAAAAGTGCGTTTTCTGCAATTCAACTATTATATTTCGGAGCAAAGTTCTAAAGTCCGGAAACCGAAGTATATGAGTAAAAAATCGAGCAGAAACTTGAATGAAAAAGTTCAACGTTTACGTGTAGAAACACGTAAACGGCATTGACATAAGTACGGAAAAGTGAAAGATCCAATCTTTAATATTTTCAAATTTATAATAATATTTTGGCAACCATATTTTTTATCAGAATACTCCACTGTACGGTAAAATAAATGTTAGGTGCAATGTAAAAAGGCATGACTATTTAGAAGATATGCTCTCCTATCGCAGCGTTTTTCGAGCCGCAATTGAGAACATTGATTTCAGTCACGACTTTGGTTCAAACATTTCACGTAGAATTTATACGAGCAGTCACGAAGAAAGCACGAAGCTTCGATGCCTTTTAACCTTTAAAAAACTGCAAGCATTTTTTAGTCGACGTTCAATCTGTGACAGCGCCCAGACACAACTCTAATTAGCCTCAGGGTAGGGCGCACGAAAATGAAAGATTGGAAAAAACATGAAAGTTTGTCCATGCTTGTCCATAAAAAGTCGATTTTCTATCTAAAGTCGATTGTAGTCTATTTCATGCAGGCACACACGCTTCACCTTTTCGTTGTTTTATTGGCTGACATTCAGAATGTTCAAAAAGTGAACTGTACTTGCTGCAACTTTTGAACGCTACTACAGTTCTGTTGGTCACAAGTTTGGCCAACTGTCACAGCACTAGTTGAGAATAATAGCAGTTGTTAAAAAATTAATTAAAGGAGTTTGTGAGGTCGACAAACAAATAGAAGTTTTATGCCTAATCCATCATCATGAACTAGTCCAGTAATAATTACAGAGTGTGAATATTTACACGAGTTGTGCGCACAGGTGAGATTTTCCCATCGCACATGCTTGATCATTACTTGATCATCAGTTGTCGATTAGTATAACAGGTTTTGCCATTCTAAAATTACCCAAATTTGTAATTTCATTTAAATTTTTCAAAAATATATATACGACCATATAAAACTGTTCATGCAATGATTATACAGCTCATCGACATGGCGTAGTGATTGATGCTCTGTTGATTTTTATTACAGAAAATAATTTATATCTTGACACTGAATAGCCGGCGTTCGATGGCATTGATCGAATGCTGCTATTAAGAGGGCAACCCAGTTAACGTGTTCATGGTTACCAACTCGCCAAGGTTAATGGACTTAGTCCTCGTGATTGAACGCAATAGAACGGTGAGCTCTTGAATTAAGGAATGAGTGACACCCAAGCCTGGAACTTTATTCAGTGGTTACAGCCGCTGCCACGGTATGAGTGCTATATCATGATGACCGTCTCGCATGATTAGCCGACGGCATGGTTCGACAGACGTGTGGATCCGACGAATTGAAGTGTTGAATGAGTATAAGACGTTTATTGGAAATGTTTGTTGTTGCACGATATGTTGATTACAGTTTATGTGATGCCCCCAAAGATTTGTAATTTATTTATGTAATTTTTAAAAATTAAATATCATTCAAGCAAATAAATTTATTAATAATTTATCCCATTCCACAGCTTGTCAGATAATAAACTTGGCAGAAAGACTACTTTACTATTCATAAAATTCGTTACAAATACTAAATTACTTTCAAATTTTACGCTGAATACTGAACTAACGTGACGCGCAGGTATTCATCCATTATTAGATTCAATGTTGAAATAATTCCACATGACGCCGAATTCAACTTTAGAAACTCATCAGCATTACTCTAAGTACTTTTTGCTCGTCGTGGCTTCATAAATTATGTCATATCACCGATACCTAATTTAAAGTGTAGGGAAGTTTAGACTGGCCAAGCGACGGTCTCCAATCAGTTTTCCATGGGCCACCGTTAATTTTCATTAAGGTATCAACCCTGGTATCAATTGAATTGTAGGTGCATTTTTACGTCAGTGTTCGATAAGTGCTCTGTGCAACAACTTTACTTTAAAGTAAGGTAACCGTATTTCAATTGCGTTCTTGAATACAGACTGCGTTTCTTGGTTACCATTCATATATATACACTAGATTGCACGTTGTATTTGTGTAGATTGAAGTTGATTAAACAAGATTTGTTTACCAGAAAAGAGTGTGTGTATATCAATATCTACGAAAATTGTTTGTTAGATTTTCTAAATATTTAATTTATTTACCAATAATTTCTTTGTCGTTTTAAACTTCTTCAATACCTACTTATGAATTTTTTATGTTGAACCCAAAGTATGAATAACAGAGAAGAGAACTTACGATCATTGTAACATTTATTTTGTGACTTAGACTCCCATCCTCCCAAATTATAGAAGAAGGGGTCAGACTTGAAAACCATCATCAATAATTTATGAAAGGTGACTGCAAAGAACAATAAATAAAGAACGGTTTGAGAACAATAATTAACGAAGAACAGGCGTGCATATCAGGCATGAGGCTCGAGCGGTAAAAGAATCATTAAGCCAAGTTGTTCACATGAAAGATTTTCATGTGGGGCAGCAAATTGCTGATCAACTTCATGGGAATTCAAGCGACCAATATTAGTTGGAAGTCTGGCGATAACTTGTTTTGTTCTAAATAACTTGCGCTCATTATATATACGTATTCGTGTGTATATGTATTATATAAGTATTATAAATAAGTATTCTTCGGATGATGGGTATTCAGGAAAAGATTCATTAGCTGCGCTAGTATTAATATTAGTATATTTATTTTAATTTAATATAGATCGAGCTAGATAGATCAATTGAAATTGTTTGACTGGGAGGTAATAGCTCAACAAATATTCAGTGATTCATAATAGATCTTGTATAATCGGTTTTTAGCGCATTTTCTCATTTATGGAAAAAAGGCGCTATTGAGCTCGTCATGTCCGCCTGGGTCTGTCCGTCTGTCCGTCAGTCTGTCCGTGACTTCACGTTTTCGTCGACGAGAAAATGCGCTCTCTTTCACTCACTGCAGTGAGTACTGAGTTATATTTTTGAAAAGCTTTGGATTGCCAAATTTTGTCGTCGACTTCATCTTTGCCTATTCTCTTGCATTCCCATCATTTCACTATTGCGTGACCTCAGTTTCGAGGCTAGATAACGAAGAAGTATGATTGTACGCATGGCAAACCTTATCATGGTCGTTCTCCATTTTGATGGGTGATTTGGAACTTGAACTTTCAATATGAAACTGATTGCAAATCGAATATCGAATGATGATTGGATAATCAACTTTCAACATCGCGAACATCCTAGTCGATAACGAAATTGACTCAGAAAATATCTCTGATTTTTTAACATGATCAATTCCCGCAGAATTAAGACCCCTTTGGACACACGTGTCGCGTACTGCAATATTAGAGTACGTGTAAATTAATAAATAAAGGTCGCACGATGAGACGAGGTCAAACGTCGCTCACCCAGTCACTAGTAAATACTCAACTTATAAATGATGTAAGCTCTACGATCTCGGCGCTGTTGTAGCGCCGGGGTTGTAGAATTACTCTAATTACTTGTTCTTTAGATGCAAATATTATTGACAAGGCCTGATTTAACCGTCGATAAAGTGTTAATTGAAAAACGGTACGTAGTTACTTGTGGCAGCCTGACACGTGTGCGCTTGCTTACCTTTAAGACTCATAGAAAGTACCAGACATTATCTTCACCGGACGTATGACATTTCAAACACGTCAAAAAGTATAAGTTTGATGAGAAGATTAAAATCAATTTATATTTAGTTACTCACAGGTGTATGACTGAGCTTGAGCGTCTCCTGAGAGCTTCATTAGCAGGATGACCACCAAGGACCTCCCCAGCAGGGTCAGGTCGTGACGAAAGCGTCGCATCGTCACAAGGTCTCCTCGTCTCTTCACTCCTCCCTCTTTTCTTCCAGTTTCTTCTCTTCTTACTTTATATTTGGTCGAAGCTTTAGAATTTCCTGAAAGGCAGAATATCATTCTTGACAGAGGGCAAATGAGACTAGCATTATTCTTTCATAAACTCAAGCGACAATAAATGACAACATCAGAGCAATATTATCCAATAGCGAGAAGAAAACATAATGTCGTAACTAAAATTCAAAACTGAAACTTTATCGAAGTAATTCCTCTTATTCCAAAGTTTGCTTCGAGATGCCATTGCATAACGTATATATACCTCGTGTATATATAGTAGTACAAATTTATGCAAGTTTGATTGAAGACCAGAGCATGCTTTTTATTAACAATCTTCTTGTTCGTCTTTTCAATGAGTCGAACCAAATCTTCTTCTGGTCTTCAATCAAACTTGCATAAAGGAGAAGCTTCTGCCGAACTACACCAATTTTAGTACAAATTTATGTACCATTTTAGTGCGTGAGATTGCACTTAAATTCGATGCTACCTGTTTTTTTTAGCAACTAATCACGTGCGACTATGGTATCTATGATACTGAGAGAAATTTCGGATAAAGAATGATGTCCTAGTATGACATCACTAAACACAACTGACATTGAATACTTGCACAATCACATCATTAAAACTATCATTCTAATTTTTTCTAGTTCAAATGAAACTACATAATGCATTGTTTCAATTTTTACAAAAGATAAACATAACGCATTTCATCATTATTCTGTTCTAAAATGTTTCTTATCATCCTGGTCATTATTTTTAACTACAGTTATTGTAGTCATGACATCATGAATTAATAAATACGTTCATCGGAAGAGAGTCTGAATTTTTAAACAAGTGTGCAGAGTCGAAGTTTTAAATCTTGAAACAGTGTGAATATTTTAGCAGTGCACTACGATTTGTGCTGAAGTTGAAATTAGTTTTCAAACTAGTCTCTGATTAGAGAGATTGTTATCGATGAATGCTATTCGTCGTCTTAAGTTCTGATGTGCCGTGCGCATGCAATGGTTTTAGATCCTGATTGGTTTTAAGATGCCTGGCTTAAAATATCAAATTTGCCACCTATCTGAATTCTCGATTGAATTTCTTGTCCGGCTATGGAATTATTGACATCATTCAGATCTGTTTCTTGAAAAGTTCATTGATTTTTTTGTTAATAATCACTATGGCTATTTTCAATAAAAAACAGACAGTAAGAACTTCAGATTAACTCCTATTTTTAGTTATGAATTAAAAAAATGTACAGGAAAAATACCGATGATTGTCATCGTGAAAATACCGTTATGCTCTATTGTACATAAACTGATTCTTCGTTGCAATTGCATTTAGGTGCTGCTCTTATATATTTTAAGTATTATACATCGCGTAGTTATCGGGAAACTGCGTTATTTAGAAACAATTTCAAAGATTATATAATCAGCGCCAGAAATTTCGCACTGTATGCGAAATCTAGGAAGGATCTGGCTGGAAACGAATACATTTTTTGTACATGTTCATGGTGCAGTGACTATAAATCATATAAACATGAAAGAAAATTAAAAATAATTGAAAATTGGCAATCATCTGCTAGCTTTCTTGGCTGATGGCATGCACTGAAATAATTAGACATTTATCATCCGAGGATATTAGTCCAGTATAATATTCATAGAATACAATAATCTATTTCGCCTCACACCAACTTCAGAAACATATTCGATTCAATATTTACCATTACCGTCATATATAATGCATACTTCCATCAGCAGGTCATCTATTTGACTCATGGTGGGCAGCTGTAGTTGTTATAGCACGTGTGTCTTATAGCTCTATTTCTAGCGCATTTTGATATACAAATAATTTTTGATCCCGTCTGATAATTATATTTGATGAAGATGTTAATCATGACTGTGAATGACAATTTAACATAAAAGACACCTAATATTGAGATGAATAATGGAAAATATAATTTAGACAATGAATTCTAGCGATGAACAATGTTTTGTTATAAATATGATACTAATCGTAAAGTGATGACCGGAGAATGAAACTTTTATTGGGTACAACATGTCATTAAAAAGGTGCTAATAATGAACGGATTAGGGGACAGTTTAATTATAATGGAAATGATGATTTAGTCTAAAGATTCTAGTTGTGGATGATGAATTAGTGAAAGTCCTGAACTAGGGCGTGTAAAATACTATCATGAATAATAAGTGCATGTTGATAAATAATTATTCTCCCTTTGGTGTGGAGGGGAAATGAGAAAACCTGATAGACGATAATTTCATTCCATAAATATCGCATTCAACATTTGTAATCATAAAAGAGAATCATTTCACGAAATTCCATTGTGGGATAATTCTCAAGACGTCTTACGGCTATGAGTTAATCAACATTCAGGTCTTAAATTAACCCTTTTATTGTACACATTGTACTTTCACATTCAGCCCTGCATGCTCTGGCCATGAAAATGTTCTCAGGAGCCTCTTAAAGAGGAGTCGTACGAATAATATATTTACAGCATCTACTTAGGGAAACTTCAATTAATTCACTACATATTGATAAATTTCATACAAAGTTAAAAAAATTGTGCGAATTTCTATCTCTACTCCAGCAATAAATGTTAGCTATGATTTTGATAAGAAAAAAGCACGTACATATTGGCAGGAATATGCGGTTATTTATTTTCCATCATGCATTGGCATGGTTTATATGAAATTATAATCAGATAAACTGTATGGATCACAAAACTTACGCCGTTAATGACTTTCTAAAAACATGAATCACCCGGTAATCAGCATTTAAAACCAAGAACGAACAAACGAAAATCTAATCACTCTACAGAAAACATGTTCCGCGTTGAGGCTCGAATAGGATCGAAAAATCATCAGTATCGGTAAAGTAGCACATTTAATGATGAAATTATACAGTTAAGTTTATACGCTAATGTTATTCAATCACTACAATGTAGTCTACTAACCTAATATTGTGATAAAAATGCTCGACTAAGACAATACTTCAATCATCATCCAGTTATTACATTATTAAGTAAAAATACAACTCATCATAACCGAGTGCATGAATACATCAATGTACGAGTCTACGAGTCTGAATAATAGCATCACTTTACTCACCAGGATTTCAGTCTCTGCTCACGTGAACCCGTACACCGTGAACAAAAAAACTCTCTTCTGGGAGCTGCGTAAACCCGGCGCTGCTCGGGTCATGTCTCGCCAGGTACAAGGGCGGAATTTTGGATGAACCAAACACTGGGACGAAACGCAGCGTCGTTTTGACGACGCCAGCGGTGACGACCAATGAGCACCAGAGTGTCTTAATTGCAAGGGCTGTGGACACTCATGGGCGAGCGGTTGCCTTTGACGACCGAGCGAACCACCCAATCCCATTTGGTCTCTCGTTGTGACGTCAAGTCTTAGGTCGCACCACGGCTGACCTCCTCCAATGGGACTGAATTTCGTTTGCAATCGCATATCCATTAGAGATTTAGATCAATTTATAGCATTTCCGATGATAGAAACTTTTGGTCAATCATTCTTTTCTTCCTTCAAAGGACCAAATTAACCTATCATGTCGGATGATAGGTTATGCCTCGGATGCGAGGAATGGACTATACGACCGGCCAACTTTGCGAAGCCGTTCGATCCGAACTTACCGTGCCAGATATCTGTCAATCGCCCTGTATTCATCCATTGATTCATATGTCACGATGTCAAAAAGTTTGCATAAGTTAGAAATATTCTTTTCCTCAGCCCAAAAGCTTAACTGCATCGACATTTCATACGACATTACTCAGAAAAATATTTTTTTAAAGAAAATCATTCTGAAATTTTACAGCTGTGCAAAAACTAAGAAATTCTTTCATATGTTGCTTTAAAGAATTACTGAGCGTTTAATGGGCTTCAAGAATTATTCTCGCATCAAGAAATGTTTATGTTCCTCACCTAATTTATTCGCGCTTTATTATTGAAACATGTTGTTGAGACAAGACACCCGGAGCGCTCAGCAACTGTTGAACGAGGAATAAATTTTGGGATATATCAGTCAATACATTGATATTGCTGTAAAAAATTATTCACTAGAGCTGCTGCTTCACAAAGCTCTGCCTCCAAATGAATTTGACATTAAAAATATTAAGATGATTGCCAATAATTACACGACAAAGAGTGGAACATTAGAATGGCAGTACTCCGTGACAGCAAAATTATCAGTCAGAACGTTAAAGTTCGAGTGTCATTAGCTCAGTTAATGTTTGAATACTGTAATGATCTGGTACTGATGGCTGGTGTTCTGGTACTGATATGTTCAAATACTGACATTGAAAAGTAATGTAAGAACATTGTTATGGCTAGATATGTTCGAAAACTGTTATGTTTAGTCAATATTCGGACAATTATATATCCAGGTATGTTTAGAAACGGTTATGTCTATTTTATATTCAATCCTGATTAGTACAGATATTTTTGAACAAGTTTTTATAATTGCTATTGGACCACTGATTTATCTAGATATGCTTCAATATGGGTATGACTAGTAAATGTTAGAATACCGATAAGTCTAGAAAGATGCCACTTATGTTTAGCTAATAACGAAACACTGAAATGTCTGATAAGTTTTAACACTGTTATTTCTATTTGATATTGAAACAGTTATATGTCTGATGTGTTTTAGCACTATTATGTTAAATAACTCTGAAATTTTTAACATTGCTATTTCAAGTTAGTATTCGACAACAATCCTACTTAAATACGCTCGAATAATCTAGTTTGCTACTCCTAATTTCAAATTTTATGAGCGCGCAACTGATCGTTAACCTTGAATTTGAAACAAGCACGGTATTGTAAAATTCAGTTGGCCTAGCACAAAAACTCAACTTTGACCCAGAACAATTCTTCGATATCAACGGAACAGTGATTTTATTTCTATAGTGAATATTTTCGTTGATTGGAGTAGGAGGTCTATCCAATGAGATTCAGGTTAACAAAATGACTAAGATATAGCAAATCTATCAGTTGAATCAGTTGAAATTAACCTACCAACGGTTTTCTTGGCTCATCAAGATACGTTCATGGTAAAACTTTCGATTTAATACTTTTAGAACGTTCAGCCACTTGGGCGAAATTCTCTAAAATTATTAAGCAAGTTATTTAATTAATGATCAATAATAAATAATGAATTGCTGCACTCCCAAGTAGTAACAATCGCGTTGATACAGGATGCAAATGAATAATTAAAATGCTCAGTAGAACTAAGAATAATCATAGAAAACGAATAATTTTCTTAGATTTACAATTTTCAAATAAAAAAACCATGGCCGCAAAAATCGAAAATAATATAATAGAACAAATTATTATCGGAGACAAACGATAGTTGCAGAAATACCCATGAACGCGGGGCAAAAAAAAAAAAAAAAATACCGACGCTTACGATCATCATCGATTTATACGAATGTCGTTCAAATAACGACCACCGTAATTCTATCGTTGCGCAGTCACGCTAAACTTTGTGAGGCAGTGAATATACGGCCAGTCGAACTCTTGTCGATGCTCCCGTGTAAAGTTTTTCCAATGCTACCGTGTGAACTTATGTTTGTGCTCCGACGTAAAGTTTTCTTAATGTTTCCGTATGAAGTTCTGTCAATGTTTCCGTATGAACTTTCCTCACTGCTCCGTTATGAGCTTTTCTCAGTATTCCCGTATGATGTTTCCTCACTGCACCCTTTATAACTTTTCTCAGTGCTATCGAATAAAGTTTTTTCAGTGCTCCCGTGTGAAGTTTTCTCAATGCACCCGTATGAAGTTTTCTCAGTGCTCCCGTGTAAAGTTTTCTCAATGCACCCGTGCGAAGTTTTCTCAGCGCTCCCGTGTGAAGTTTTCGCAATGCATTCATGTGAAGTTTTCTCAATGCACCCGTGTGAAATTTTCCCAGTGCACCCGTGTGAAATTTTCTCAATGCACCCGTGTGAAGTTTTCTCAATGCACCCGAATGAAGTTTTCTCAATGCACCCGTGTGAAGTTTTCTCAATGCACCCGTGTGAAATTTTCTCAATGCACCCGTGTGAAATTTACTCGATGCACCCGTGTGAAGTTTTCTTAATGCACCCGTGTGGAGTTTTCTTAATGCACCCGAGTGAAGTTTTCTCAATGCACCCGTGTCAAGCTTTCTCAATGCACCGTGTGATGTTTCCTCAATGCACCCGTATGAAGTTTTCTCAATGCTCCCGTGTCAAGTTTTCTCAATGCACCGTGTGATGTTTTCTCAATGCACCCGTGTGAAGTTTTCTCAGTGCACCGTGTGAAGTTTTCTCAATGCACCCGTGTGAAGTTTTCTCGATGCACCCTTGTGAAGTTTTCTCAATGCACCCGTGTGAAGTTTTCTCAATGCACCCGTGTGAAGTTTTCTCGATGCACCCTTGTGAAGTTTTCTCAATGCACCCGTGTGAAGTTTTCTCGATACACCCTTGTGAAGTTTTCTCAATGCACCCATGTGAAGTTTTCTCAATGCACCCGTGTGAAGTTTTCTCGATACACCCTTGTGAAGTTTTCTCAATGCACCCGTGTGAAGTTTTCTCAGTGCACCGTGTGATGTTTTCTCAATGCACCCGTATGAAGTTTCTCAATGCTCCCGTGTCAAGTTTTCTCAATGCACCGTGTGATGTTTCCTCAATACACCCGTATGAAGTTTTCTCGATGCACCCGTGTGAATTTTTCTCAATACACCCGTGTGAAATCTTCTCGATGCACCCGTGTGAAATTTTCTCAATGCTCCCGTGCGAACGTGCCAATTTTCCTAAATGCTCGCGTGCGAAGTTGCGTGTGAATGCAGTTACTAACCCGAAGTTGGATTCTAGCAAACGAAAGAGCTTTATTTCAGACGGGGCGGTAAAAAAGTTGTGACGTCGTTTCACGCATCGTAACTTTTATAAACCCGTGTAATTTTTTGCGGTTCAAATCTGTTCAAAAGTGAACCAAACAATTTGTTCCCTAGTTTTGCAATATTTATACAATTTTCGTACAGTAATTTTCAGTACATACAAAATTTCATTTTTGACAAAAGAATTCATAGAATATTTGTTTCACTCGCAAATTCACCAAGAATATACGAAGAAAATGCCAGGAAAATGCATAATATTTCCATCAAAAACGAAGCGGGTAGCTACTCCATCATCAGTTTAAAATTCAATCCAAGTGTATCGATTTCTTAAATCTTCTTTTGATTATACTCACGTTTTTTGCAGAATTTGAACTGATGTTGGGGCTGGTATTCGAAACGTTTTAAATGAAAAAATGATGAATTTACAATGTATTTTTGTCTCTTAAAAATTGTTAATACTATTATGAACGTTACGATCAGAAAACGCATTTAAATGGCAAAACAATGGCATTTACGTGCCAGGGGAATTCATAAATGATGCAGTCAATAAAAATACATGCAGAAAACACTGATTTGTGACACAATTTCGCATAAAAATATGAGAACACATATACTTCAGTGCTCGAATCCTAAAAAATACAATCACAAATTATTCATCAATGATGCGTGCGTAAAATACTTGGTACAAAAACGTTCTTCGCATATAATAATTAAGAGCAATATATATATATACATACAATAGAGCAAAATACGGCCGTCCAACGCTGGCTATAAGTGCGTTCACAGCACCATTGGCTGGAGGCTCAGCGCCAAGGGGTCGGACGATCTTTAATATATTTGTGCCATGAACACGCATCAATATTAGACGACGTCGGCCCCATCTGTCCTCTTCATCAGAACAGTTCATGAACTGTGTAGAAACAGAGTGAGGTCTGTGCATGCCATGCAGCGTGCAGCATTAGCATGCACAAAGAAGCGTGCAACACCATGCAGAAAGAAGATTGCAGCGTTAGCATGCAGCGTACGGAATTAGCATGAAGGAGCTCAGCATTATCATGCAGCATTAGCACACAGAGAAAAACGTGCAGCACCAGAAATCAGCGTCCAGCATTAACATGCAGAGTGCAGCAGAAGCAAGCCGCGTGCAGCATTAGCATGCAGAGAGCAGAATTAAGCAGAAGTAAGCAGCATGCATTATCCACATGCAGCATGCAGACGAAGCAAGCAGCATGCAGCACCAGCTTGCAGCGTGCGACAGCAGCATTGCAGCATGAATGAATATCGTCTGTAGAGCCGAGAAAAATATCCTAAATCAATCCGTTGTTTGCCGCTCTTT